CTTCACTGTCACTGAGTGAAAATCCTGGAAATTCATTATAGCATTGTGGGTATGCCTAAAGCCTAAGAACCACAGCAGTTGAAGAAGGCAACTCACGCCACATTCTCAAAGAGAAGGGGTTGACAATAAATGTTTGTGGAGCGAGCAATGCTCATATCCCATGTAAAGTATAAAATAAAATCCTAAAAGGAGTGGATACTGGGAGGTTGTAGGGAAAGACTAGAGCTAGGGAGTCCCAGTTAATAATAAGAATCTGACTTATTTCCTCTAAGGGTGATAGTCTGGGGAATTCTGTTCACCAAAAAGGTAATAGGGGATAGGTTATTGATTGTTTTCAAGGCAAAATTATAAAGGCTTTTGATGGACCAGGGAGTCAACGGCAATGGAGGAGAAAAACAGGAAAGCGGAGTTGAAACCACAATGAGATCAGCCATGATTGTATTCAATGGCATAGTGCATGTGGAGGCCTCAAGGGACTACTCCTGCTTCTAGGTTCTACATCTCTAAGCTGTCTAACAAGTTAGAAACAAAAAATATCAAGAGAGGTGGAGTAACGGTAGAGCTGTGCATCATTGATGTATGTGTGGAAACTGATGCTTTGTTTACAGATTATGTTACCAAAGGGCAATATGTAGATGGAAACTGAAGAGGGTCAAGGACAGTTTCTGGGATCCTGGAAATAACTGCAGCGGGAGACAGTCAGTGGGGATAATTGTCTGGATAGCTAAGAATGTAATCAGGCAAAAAGTAGGCCTGCTCAGAGGTAGACAGTGGAGCAATGTTAAATAGGCACAATGGATGAGGGGGAATAGGTTACCCTTGTTACAGTCACATTGGACATCATTTACAATTTTTGCCAATTTGCTATTATGGCAGGAGCATAAATCTGATGAGGTATTCATAAGTGAAGATTCGAGAAAGATGGTGGTGGATTTGGGAGGCATCAGTACATTCAATAAGTCTGTAGAGCAAAGGAAGGTTCGGGAAGGGGTAGTAGCTCGAAAGGATAAGAAGAAGGTCATGAGAACAGACTTGAAAGTGAGCAGAATAGTACATGAGGAGAAAGAACCATTAATAATGGTCAATTATGGCATACATTTTTTGTGTTGCTTCCTCTACAATCATAACGTCAAGCCTGTTTCTTTCCCTTGTCATGTCAAAATAAAATCATCCTAAAATATTTATCAAACAAGTTTTTTTGTGGCAGCGGGACATCTCAGCTTCTTGTAGAACATTATCAGCAGAAGACAATGATGCCTGTGTTTCCACCATATACTTCTCTACATGAAGAGAATGGACCATGCAATAGCCATAGGAAGGATCCGATTCCTCTACCTGCCAACATACCTGTTCAGTGAGTGGCACAGTGCAGTTTATATCCAAACGGTCGTCTCCCTCCAATTTCAGCAATGAATTTCCCAATAGCTTCTGCAGGAATTAAACACCAACATTACAGTGTGCATACACAAACTAGTTGTTCCACATTTCCAGAATTGCACAATTTATTGAGGAAAATATACATTTGTAAAATACGAGACAGGGATAGGGCAGAGGAGCAAAGGAAAATGACACAGAAGTCACTGGCTGTTTTTAAGCAATCATATGCTCCATTCAGACCTAGAAACTCACCTTATTATTTTAGGTAAGGATTAACTTCTTTCTAAATCAGTCACTCTAGCATTTAGGCAGGATAGCTCAGATACAAAGAAACGGGGCAGACCAACAACAAAAGGTCATTTAGAGGATGGAGATTATTTTGCAGTTATGTGGCATCGAGCGATTGTTAGTGCTGCTTTCAGAAGAACCCTCCGAGATAGCTGCATGTGGAAAGCAGAAAGTTGCCCTTTAAGTGTGTAAAGCATGCATGTTTCACAAGGGTGCATATACAACATCTTCACAGCTGTGTGTGGTTACAGTCTGCGTTTCCTTAAAACCTACAAAAATTAGTGTTAAACAAATCTTACAAGAGACATTTTTAACAAGTATTGAATTTCAAATCTCCTGATTTGCAGGTCTTTCTAAGTTCCATGCTTAATAACTGAATAAACACTGGCTTAGTTGATGAGCGTCAAAAACTCAAAAGTCAGAACTGTGCAACAGGCTCTGCAGCAGCAAGCAGGAAAGGCACAATCAATTGTGCAAACATTTTACCTTCACCAACTGGGAAAGATCATCTTCTCTCCGGGTCACTTCAGCCTATTATGTAGTGACAAAGGGGTCATTCCAGGTTTATGGCACATGCTTAGTTAGGTACATGGTAAACAAGTCAAATTACTGGACATAAAGAAACCAAGCCGTGATGAAAGAAACATGAACAGACACAATTTACTGAATACTTACAGCAGCTGTCTCTGCTTTTTCACATGATCTTCGCCCACAAGCCACAACAGACTCCAATACATTGACCCAACGCTGTTTATCTGGGAAGCTTGAAGCAAGCATATAGAGTGTTTGACCAGGCCAGCAGGTTGTATGGGGCTGAGATTCCAACTTTAGTATGTAAGGCACATCTAAAGGGAGGAAAAAACTGATTAAGGAAAAGAAAATTGAAGCAAATAGCAACTCAAAGCTATTACTTGATATGTTGGGATACAACTAAGTGGTTACTGGAAATATTTTTGGGATTTTCCTTTTAGACCCAAGGAGGTAGGTGAGTTAAAGTGACTCACTTTATAGAGTCACCTTTATCCCTAAAGGGGAAACATCTTCCACATTCCATTTGATTGCTCTAAGTGGTTAAGTGTTGGAAGGCTGATACTCTTTAAAGATACTTTTGATTTCATATCCAGGCATTGCATGTAAATTTATTAATTATTCCTTTGCTTATGATTTAACAGAAAAATACCCAACCTTCGAAAAATAATGGCAAATAAAGTTATACAATTGATTTTTGAAAAGGGGTCAGATGAATGGACATAGGCTGCAGAGTGTGCGGATCTCTGTAGCTTGTGGTAGCAGTCTTCTGCTCAGCAGTTAGAAGCTGTTACCGCCATCTTTCTCGATCTTCCGTAGTCTCCCACATCTAAGTAGGCATGCTGAGAATAATGTTCCTCCCAACACATACACCTCTGAACACCCATCAATATACTTCATGTCTAAGGGCCGGTAGTTTAATTCAATCACTTCAGTCTAACAAGTCAATCACTTGTTTGAACTCTACTAAATTAATACAGGATAGGTAGGCAAGATGTCAGGGTGTTCACCTCTCACTTTGTCCACCTCTTAGGTTCAAGGTCATCTTGTCTTTATGAGCCCTTACCAGATACTTGTAATAAAGCAAGTGGGTACAAGATTCTGTATCACTGATTTAGGAATGTCAACACCAAATCAGGAGACACTGACATTTCTTGCTTGTGTCCTTTTCCAGAGAAAAAGTAAAGAAGTTTATCTACCAAGATGGCTTCATGCAAGCCTACCTATTCAGTAAACATTCTAAACTTATTCTGAAAAAATATAATTTATAAAGGGTTCTATTTCTTACAACAAAAATAATAATTAACGACCACAGGACATCCCAAACCACTTTACAACTAATGAGTGACACTAGAAATGTAGCCATTATTGTAATGAAGGAAGTACAATAGTTAATTAGTGCACAGCCAATATGATAATGATTAAATAATCTCATTTTTGAGACATTGATTAAGGGATAAATATATCCAGGGATAACTACCATTCTTCGAAGTAGTGCCATGGAATATTTTACAATCACTTAAAAGGGCAGCTGGAACTTTTATCCTCATTTTTGTGCTCAATCAAATCTTGAAATGGATTTGAACCCACAAAGACCTTACAGTGTTACTAACTAAATCACAGTTGATACATATAGTTTTTTATTAGCATTTTCTGTGAACCGATTCAGAGCAGATGGGATTCCTGAAGGTCTAAACAACCTGTATTCAAAACCAATTTACAAAATCCTCTGAAACAAAACATAAATTCAAACTACATTTAGTAAATGTAAAGTGATTGTTCCGTTTAATTGCTTTCTGAGGAGTCTCCAAGACATTCTTGTTGGTTAAGTAAATAAGGTACAACATATCCAGATGATTTTCATTCCATCAAATAGGAACAACGCAGGATATTGTTTAATATCATCTAAGACAGCTCGATATAGAAATTAAGAGCTTCAGCAATAGTCAAGTTCTAGCCTTCCAAATGCCTATCTTCTAATATTAACTACCAAACTGTCCACTTTCCAACAACACAGAAAAAAGTCCCATTCAAATGTTATAAATTCAATTATTATGTATAATTTATACCAACATAAACTAACCTGGTTTTGAAAGCCAGTCTCAGTAATGGTGACCATGAAATCACCATCACTTATTGTAAAGATCCATTTGGTTCACAAATGTCCTCTAGGAAAGGAAATCTGCCATCCTTACCTGATCTGGATTACATGTAACCCCAGACATACAGCAATGTAAATACAGTTCCCTTGTTGAAGGAGGATTATGCTTTGACTTTGCTGGGAAAATAAAAAGTGTAAAACTACTCTTTTTGTGCCTAGTACAAGCATTTTGCCTTCAATCAGGTGTCTCCTATAATAGACTTCCCAAAACCTACTCTGTTTTGAAGAAAATGCAGGGATAAACACTCTTGCTTGGAACAGTCTGGGGCACACCATTGCCAATAAGTTGCTTCTTTAAACCCTCTCAGAGCATGTATTTATAGTTGTATATTTTTATAGTAATGCACTTGACATTATACTGAACTTTTTATTCCCCAAAAGGTACTGCAGCCCAATCTTACCTGTTTTTGCAGTGTTTACAAGCTCAGAGGCTCCAACAGCTCCATGAACAGTCACATCTCCATCGGGCTGGCATAGCTCAAATTCATCAATTGGTCTTTGCCCTGTTAAAAAGGGAGGGAAGAAACAAGAGACTACTTAATCTAACAGTAGCTCTACTGAGGGAAACATTTCATTCAGTGTGTACAAAATCATTTCTCGAAAACATTTCTTTCCAGAACCTGAAAAACTGTGAAACCACTTACCTCCCTCTGTTAGTTCATGTATATGGAAGATAGCTACTATCAGGTAGCAACCCAACTAGACACACTTTCTTGCAAGTCATCAAGAATTGCAATACCTGTTACAGCAAAACCAAATTCTGTAAGCCAGTTTGGTGGTTTAAAAAATATAACTTTAGACAATTTTAATCCTTTGCTGTCACTCTTCAGACTGCTTCCATTATAGCATTTGTCAATGCTATTTGACATTTGTGTCATTTCTCGTACGAATTCTTGATTCAAGAGCAATGTCATCTTAGATGTCATCTGTCTGGTTAACATAACTCTTATGCCCACGTTACTAAAAGATTAGCAACAGATTTTGTGCCTCTCCAAAAGGGTATTAGACATCTTTCAAAGTACATTATATAAATTTTGATGTACGGGTGCCGCTCTTCCTAAAATGAAAGTTGTATTATTAGCTTCACTCTTCTCTAAACATGACTTAAGTAATCTTGGTAAAGAACCTAACAGAATGGAATCATTCTGCTTTAACAACTGTCTTCTCAGCTTCATTAGGGCTTCTGCACTGGATGTTATCCTTATCACGATTTCAGAAGCTCTGTTCAATGTATTTGCTTCAATCTTACTCCTAATACAGTTTTCATTCTCCTTGGAAATTTGCTGTGCCTCTGTCTCTATCATGACAATGATTCTCATTACTCTTCAAACAATTTTTAAAAAGAAAGTGCATAGAAATAGAAAGTGCTCCTAACACCAAATTATATAAATTAAGAACTCTGGACTAATTCATGATTGTTCGTTATCACTGGGTTTAGAATGACTGTGGATATACTGATCTCTTTACTTTGGACTATCTAATCACTGCCTCAAACATGTCTAAAGACTTTGAATAACTATAAGCCAGGATGGTTCAGAAGTGCCCCAAAATATGCCACACTTAAAATACATGTACTTCATCTCTAACCAGTCACCAGTCAGTAACAGCAAGTCTCAAAGTTAAGGCCTTTGCTGAAGTCACATTTTGTTTGTTGTCCCAGTGTGACAAGAATAATATGTCCTTCATTTGTTTCGTATTCATCCCAAATGCAGTAGAAGCACGATTTCTGGCACTGTTTAGTAAAAGTCTACATTAAGATCCCCCAACCCAAGAGAAGCTCATCAGAAATCAGAGGATTGGACACAAGATGATACGGGATTCAGTTTGTAAACCAGATTAACATGTCTGAAAAGTTACTCAAAACATTTAATACCTACCATCTATTGTATCATTTTCATAAAGAAGAACTTTTGATCCTTCCAGGATAATGTACTTCCGCTCCCAGCCCTGTTGCCCTCGCTTTCCATTCCTGACAGAACAAAACAAAACACTATAATGAGGCGGTGGAAGGCAGCACAACAGCAAAATATTAAAGCATTGGTTAGAACCAGTGAACCAACAAATAATTCTATGTATGAAAGCTAAAGACGTTGAATGAAACGCAACTGGTGCTACCCTTGACTATTTTCAGGGTTAAGGATGCATTAGGAATCTTGAACAGGAGGACAATTTAGTATCAAAATTTAGTGGTTTGGGAAGAAAGCTGGTGACATCTGTTGAAAAGCTATTCGATTCTTCTGTTAACACTCAGTCATTCCAGTTTTCCATGTGAACTTGTTTCTCACCACCTTCTGAAATGTAGAACCCGAGTCAAAATACTGAGGATGTTACCTTATTTCCTAAAGAACTCTTTACAAATTGCTTTATGTGATTAGATACTTGATCATGTGGGCTAAGACTATATCAGGTTAAATCCTGATTTCTATGGGGAGACAATCGAAGGCAGGGGACTGAGGAAAAGAAAATTATTGCCCTAGGTGCCCCTAGCCAAGAAAAGAAAGGGATCTTTGCAAAAACCTTAGAAAGAGAAGCAACTTGGGCACCCTGACTGACTAAAAGTTGCATGAATGTAGACATTAGGAGAAGACAAGCTCATTTCTTGCTGGCAACCCAAACAATGAGATAATTTGATAACCGGGTCCAAATTCCCATATGAAGAAACTATAACTTGGACAAGGTGCCAATGGAAACATACTGACCATGTATCAACAGTTTCAGGATGACAAAGTGAGGTGGGGGAATAGATAAAAATTTAGGTAGAGGAAGGAATGTATTAGTATCTGAACACAAACATCACCTTCAGTTGCCTGAAACCCAGACTGCCCATTGCACGTGTCAGCACATAGTGCACTAAGAGGTGCTAACTGGACTCAAAACCAAGGATTAATGGGTATCCATGATAGGAGAAAACAAAAATACTGAAATCAATTTTGAAATACCTCGTTATACATAATTTTCTAACTATTACAGCAGAAGGTAGGCATGTTAAAAGTCTCTAGCCAAGACAGCGGAGGGCAATAGAGGGCAAATGGAGAAAAACAACTTAACTACAGAAATTATTTGCCTTTAAAAAAATCTTCCTGTCACATTAAAGCATATCTTTTTCCCTATTTATATAATTGTTTGAAGCAAATGGTAAACAGTCTTTAAACAATAGTAACTTGACATTTGTCTCAACTCTCTTCAGATCATGAAAAATGATAGCAAATGTAATTAAACTAGAGATGGTAGCTAAATCTTGACCTGAATGATGTCTATGAATTGCTGGATTTGGCACAATTGAAAAAAAACACAAGCTGAACATTCAGCTGCATAATAATGGATTCAAACTCCAGTTACAAGATGATGGAGATGCCCAGGAAGCCCAAAAGTCTTATTATGTCCATCATAAATAAACTATACATGACTTGCCCATTACTTGCTACCACGAAACAGAATTTGGTTAGATTAAAGCTTAACTTTCCACTCTCTAGTACAGAATCACTTTTAAATACTTACACTTGTACAATTAGCCAATCCAGAGGGCGATGCACTCTGTAGTTTTTGGGATATAAAATACTGATATAAGGCTGGTGCATTAAATTGTTCATTAGTATTTTGCAGTTCACTTCTGTCCGTTTATCTGCATTCCCCATTCCTTTATAAGAAGTCCCTTTTATACTCTGATCAGTTACATTTTTCAGTCTCTCATGTGTGTAATCGGGCTGCAGTGCCAAGGGCAGACACTCCAGCATGCTGTAAACACATAACTCTGGGTCCTCTTGATAGTGTTGTTATTTTACAATTTCACTTACTTTTTCTTCTTCTAATTCCTACATCGTACCAACATCCCTGGTTATTTTTACATGTGAAGGAAAAGACAGGATTGCTTTTGCAAAAGCAAAGGGTTGGGCTTATTATCCTAGCACCAGACTCATGATGAATAGCAGCTCAAGAGTAACGCACAAAGGAAGGAAAAAATGAAAATATCCCAGGCACGAAGATAAAAAGAGTGAGAATGAACTAAATATGCATAGAGTCAGATTATGAAGCAGACTTTTAATTACAGTCACTGCCAGGACAGTCCCCAATTATTTTTGATGAACTCCTGTTCATGCATTATGGTATCTCTGACTGCTCTGAAAACTTTCACAGCTCTACTAAGGTGTTAGTCTTGATCATGATGTTAAAATCCTGGTGTATGGCTCAAAATCAGTGGCCTCTGACTCAAGTTTTTACACTGATATCTAGCAGGCTGAGAGGAAGCATTTGAGAAAAATAATAATGCCATAGACTAAAAAATGGAATTGGTCCCACTGGTTTATGCAAGTCTGTCAAAGACTGTAAGTAACTATGGTCACAACGATGTCATCCTTGCAATCTGGTTTCACTTTCAAATAAGGGTAGTATGGATTTTGATTGCAAGAGTTGCGAATACTACTTGGGAAGTGTACATTGAACCACACAATTGGGTGTTAGTGATCAGTTCAATACTTGTGGCATGGAACACAGGAACAGACCAAACAGCCCTCACAGCCCTTTTGATTTATGTAATGCATGAGATGGTGCCTGTTGGATGGACACACAGATTTCATTCTGACCCCATTGATCTTGGAGGGTTGCAGCAATACAATAAGTTATTGCTCTTAGTGGGAATGGCAATGAAACAGTTTGTTCTGTTGCGTAGTGTGTCATCATTTGTTAAATGCATTAGTGCAATGGAAATTAGGTTCTGTTACAGGTGGGCCCCGAGGAGTTTGGGAAGATGCCAGGGGCATAAAGTTGAGAGTTGTGCTAACTAGTCATGGAGGTTGTCTGAAAATAGCTCTTCGAAATTTTGATAAATCTGAGATAGTTGTTACATTGCTCGGTAATTCTTGTTGGAACTGTAGATAAAGTCACTTGAGTGTTGGCACATGAACAGTCCACCTCTGCTGTAATCAGATCTTCCTGGTATTCTTTGCTCAGTCTTCTTCCAACAGCCTCAAGAACAGAGGATCAATATTCAACGCTGAATTGCAGTCACTATGAATGGATCTGTCAATCTTCAAACACTCCGAAACAGCTACCCTGCTGCCAACTCAAGATTTCATGAAGCTATGAAAAATAGAGGGGTGCTTACCAGAGGCCTCACTTACATGAGCTATACTCAATCAATGAAACTACTCTTCTGTTGGTGCATTATAGGGTCCTCAATATTGATGCAAAAGGAAGAAAGTGAGAAAGAAAAAAGGGACAGAGAAAGAAAGAGGGGAAAGATGAGAATGAGCAAATTATGGACATAGAATTAAGAATAAGAGTATGAGAGCCATTGTGCAAGAGAGATAAAGTACTGAAGAAACAAAAATATGGCAAAGTAGTACTGATTTGAAACAAGCAAACAGAAAGAGAAAGAGGCAGACACACATCATTATTTTCATCTGTGAGCAAAGTCACAGCATTTCAAATACTTTATTTTGGTTTTCCGAGAGAGAACTTCTCCCAAACCTTACATTCAGCTGCAAATTATTAAACAAATTCAGCACTACCAAGCAAAAATATAGTTTGGTTCAGTTCATGATAGGGACACCGTCCCACTGAAGAATATTCACCTGGGAACCTTCATCCAGCCTTCCAGGTGCACATTGGCTACTGGATCCTTTAGTTGTAAACCGGGGGAGTTCATTTTGTCACGGCAAAATGCTTTTGTGAAGTGTGTAGCAAATTCTGCGGGGAGCCCACATGTTGCTGGTAGGCAAGAGGAGCATTTAGGATGGCACATCACTTGACATTCTAGATAAAATATACACATTTATTAATATCAGGTCCATATGTTCCACTATAAACCCAACATTACTCAGTTTAACTCTCAAAAAAGATGGAAGCAATACACGTGGTGTGTGGTTGAGTTTGAGATAAAAGATTCATTAAATTCAGCTAAAATGGCACAGCTGAGAGTCTTGCCAATGACAAACGCCCACATCCAGTTTCTTAAAATTTCCTTACCATAAGTCACTGAGTTTTTGACAGCAAACAATCCATTGCCAGCTACAAACGACATTGCACTGGGTCGACCACCAAGAGGTAGGAACTGAACAGAAACTCCCAAGCAATTGCAGTGGTTTCAAACAAACCCCCAACTTCTCTTTACAATTTGAACAGAATTGTAACAATGAAAAATGATTCTCCATGGGGACTGCCATGTTCTGAGGAGATGGTGGAGGAGTGATGAGAAAAACTCATCAAACACATATTGTTTGGGTGAATAAAGGAAAATGCTGCGGATGCTGGAAAACATGAAAAAAAAAGCAGAAAAAGCTAGAGAAACACAGGACTTCTAGAATCTATGGAGAGAGAAACAGAATTTATGTTTCAAGTCCAATGACTCTTCTTCAGAACATATGATTCGGGAACAGACTTAAAAGCAAATCTCAAGCTATAGATGCAGACAATTCCCAAAACAAGTGAGGGGGAATAAAACGCTTGTAGCGTATCAATAATATAAAGTTCATCTGACTGAATGAGATTATTGCTCCCTCCTGAAATTTCTGAACAGATAACCACTAGCTTCCATTTAGACAGCAAGGTTTGGAATTATTTCTGCTTCTTTTTGTACCTTCGATTCTTATGTGGATCAAACTCCTTTTGACATTATTTTTAGCCTGGCCTTGAGTCACACATTTATAAATAAATAAAGCTGGTCTTAAAACAATGTGCCAATTGAAAAATCTAGACTACGGTAACCATGAGATTCAAAATTTTATTGCTCACGAGGGCATCAATGAGCAGACATTTAAAAGAAAAACTCCAAATTCTGAACCTCTCTCTGTGGACTGATGAGAAGTTCACTAAAATCAAGAATTAGAAGTGAATTTTTCTACTCCCTTATTGATGTCATTTATAGCCGAGTATTAGACTACATCAATTTGTATTTGTACAGCACAATTAACATGATTAACTATCCCAAGGTATTTCAGAGAAGCACTATCAAACAAAGCCTAACAGAGGGATATTTTGGCAGGTAACCAAAGATTTCGTTGAAGGGCTACATTTCAAGAAGCTTTGTTTAGGTGGGGTAAGGGTGGAAAGGAAAGGAAACTTAGGGAGGGAATTCCTGAGGCTTGGGCTCAGACAGCTGAAGGGACATTTATCTAGTGGGCAAAGAATATTGATTGAATAAGATATGATACAAGTTATGAGGACAGCAGAGTTTATGAAAGTTCAGGTTTGTGGGGGAAACAAAACTGGAGGATAGACAGAATAGCATTAGAACAGTCAACTCTGCAGTGTCAATAGGGTAATAAATTAGAAGAAAACATGTTGGAAATGGGCTAAAACAGAAGTCATGAAGCTAATCCTACCTACATGATTTTGAGCACTGCTAGAAGTGACAATAGTATCTGAACATTGGTACTTTGTTGACCAAGGGAATTCAGACTGTTTGTTGTACAGTGCATAAAGAAATTTAATCCATCAGTTTAAGAATGTCTGTTTTCACTCCCACCTGCACATTTTGCTGCTTGACGACCAAAATGTACAGTGTCCAGGCAAACAGCACACTTTGTGGCCCTCATGTTCAGGCCAACCGTGAAACGATGAGGAATATTGTGGTGCATACGTTCCTTCAACTGCCGACCAAACTCTGTGGGGAAAAATAGAAAGGAGAAATGTGAGAACAGTTATTATGGGAGCAGTCAGTCAGACAATCTCAAAGAACTTTCTACTACCTAACTCCCAGATACCTACTCTATGCACTTCAACTTCACATCAGAATACACTATCCTTTCAGCTACAGAAACACTCTCTGTCATTGCTTTTCGCTACTTCCAACTTTGTACTGATTCTGTGCAATTCCAAGCAACGTTTTGGATATCTCCTAATTTTGGATGAAGCATTAATATACATATAATGTGATATTCAGAACATGAAACAATACTCATTTCACAGGATTGAGTCTGGAGAGGTTGAGAATCACTGGCCTTCTAAAATCTACATAGTGCTTCTTATTCTGCAAAATCCATTACGTAACAGCAGAAACTCCTCGACTGAGTTGATGATGGATCTGGAGACCGTAGGCCGAGTATGTATTTAACTTGAGATTCAAGTACTTTCTGGTATGCCTATAGGTACTTTTTAAGTTTATATTTTAATTAGGATTACATCTGCTTCAACTGACATTTCCTTACCTTCAGGGGTGGAAGACTCCTTTCTGTGGCCAGAGGGAGGAGCCAGCAGGGTGATGGGACTTGGTTGGTGTTCTGGGGACTGTACAATAGCAGACATAATGATCTGGTGCCTGGCTGTGGCTGGTGTAGATTGTGGCTGATGATCCACTGTTTTTAGATGAGCAGCTAGAAAAAACAAAATAGGAAAAGGTTGCAGAGATTACAATAATTGCCAAAGATAGGATCATTAGCAACAGGGTGATTGTAAATGAAGTGACATAGACAGGCCATAATGGAGGTAGATCATTTATTCCTGTTAGCATCCATGTACCAATTGTTATTACTGTCTAGCACAAACTGAAGCTCGTAACTATGACTACAGTAAGAATCAGATTAACCAAAGTGCTTTGAGAAATCTGGTAGCCATATAACACACTACACTGTTGGGAGCCTTTTCCTTAAATATGCCAAAAAATGCATCCCTGCAAAAAAAAATTCTAAACAACATTGCTATTTGAAAATATGAAGATTACACGTAATCTTGTAAATAGAGTTAAGATTTTTTTTTAAAAATGCTGCATCAGTGTCACAGGAGACCAAAAATCCAAAGTACTGTACACGTCTGATGGCCACAGGACATTTTCCTGACTGTTCATTATTTGTTACACACAAAACGAAATTCACTGACGTTCCTCTGGCAGCAAAGATTTCTTTTCTATTTCAGAAAAGCCCTCTTCCTTCTAGTACATCAGTTCATTCATGCTTACTGCAGGCCGCTCTATTGTTTTTATTTAAAGCTAACAGTGTTGCGCTTTCTTCAGACTGAGGACCCTGTAGGTTTGGTGAGCAAAGAAAATAAGTTATTAGTACAACGCATGAGGAACCCTCTGGATAAACTTTACTCAATAGGAAAATACTTCAGAAGAAAATCAAAATCATAATACAGAAGGAAGCTAATTGGCCCATTATATATTCAGAAAAGAAGGGTCCCAACCTGAAATGTCAGCTTTCCTATTCCTCTGATGCTGCCTGGCCTGCTGTGTTCCTCCAGCTTCACACTGTGTTATCTCAGACTCCAGCGTCTGCAGTTCTTGCTATCTCAGCCATTACAATAAAACCCTTGTAAATCTCTGAAAGTATTTTGTTGCCTAATTTAACATAAGAACATCAGTCTATCAAACACCAGATCGAGATATTGGAAAAGAACCTTCAACTGGAAATAGCAAATTCTGTATCTCTTGAAAAGTGGAAGTTGGAAGAAAGCAGGGAATTGTTGGAGAAGCTTGCAAGGAAAGGAGCCTTCTCTTGAAATATTTTTGAAAGCTTCAACTTTAAGGGTTCATAACTACTTCCTAGAAGAATCTGAAGTCTGGTTTAAAGTTGTTCTATTGTGCTGCAACCACCAATTGGACCGCGTTGACAGTAATTCAAAGTAACTTTGAGAACCCATTCTATCTTCTGCACCCAAATCCTTCACTTACAAAGACTTTGTTTCGCTTTCACTTATTTTATTCCACTCATAATACCTCTGCAGAACTTTGCCTTCTTTATCTATGCGAATTTGTTAGAGCTTGGGATAACAGGAAATACTGTTTATTCCTGCAAAGGAACTTAAGTTGATAACTGGTTTTGCCACTTATTCCAAGATTATACTTTTGCCTTTACTAAATGTCTTAATTTTCAGTAAAATAAAGAAACCTTGTGAAAGTCTCTCTTGTTCTAGATAATAGTATTGAAGGGAAACAAATTTGACCATTTTGATGATTAAATAAAACATCCACACTTTCACATTCACAGTTCATGGAGGATTCATAGCCCTGTGGGTGGCAACGTGGCTCAGTGATTAGCACTGCAGCTTCACAGCGCCAGGGACCCAAGTTCAGTTCCAGCCTCAGGCAACTGTATGGAGTTTGCACATTCTCCTCTTGTCTGCTCCAGTTTCCTCTCATAGTCCAAAGATGTGCAAGTTAGGTGGATTCACCATGCTAAATTGCTCCATAGTGTCCAGGGATGTGCAGTCTAAGTGGATTAGCTATAGTAAATGCAGGGTTATAGGGATAGGGTGGGATGCTCTTCGGAGTGTAGGTGTGGATTCGATGGCTCTATTTAGCCTCTTTCCGCACCATAGGAATCCTATGATTGAGACTTGATTTTTCAATGCACTCTTCCTGCCAGAGTCATAACATAATTTCATACAATAGAATAGGGTTTTCTCCTTGATGGAAGACTAATTTTGGAGTTAAAAGACATAATAATTTGATGTTATTATAAGGGTGCTCTGGTATAAAGATTAAAAAGGTCTTTTCTCTGTAAATGTTGCAAAGATGCTAAAATTAATTGTGCGGGAGCACCTTCAGCCACAAAAATGAGCCAAAATCTGCAGGATATTTGGCCTGTAAGGAAACTGGTCTGAAACAAAACCAATTGCTTTGTAATATATGCATTCTGTCTTCATTCTAAAAACCATATAGCTAACAAATTTTGCTTGAATTTACAGCCCTGAAAGTGGTCAATGCTGATGTTTATACTTCACAAGAATCTCCACTCACCCATCTCCACCTAACCCTATCAGAATATTCTACTCTTTTCTCCCTCAAGCTCTCTCTTATGCTATTCATCACTATTCAGTGCGGTGGCAAATCCCACATTCACACGTGACACTGAATAATAACATTTCTCCTACATTTTAATTGGTTTCAAAGTAACCATATTATATTTACGACCTTTAGTAACTGACGCCTGCACAAGTGGAGAAATTTTCTCCATGTCTAATCTATCAAATCCCTTCCTAATCCATTAGGCCACACCTCAGCCTTCTCTTTAAAGAGATACGACAGATTCTACTTAGTCTTTCCTGATCACTGTCACCTCAATTATGGTAGTATAATTTTAAATCTTGGCAGCATCTTCTCCAGTACTTTTTTTGTTATATGGAGGCCAGAATTGTGCAAAGTACTGAGCTCTCACTAAAATACTGTACAAATTTAACAATTTGTTTGCTTTTCAATCTGTTCTTCAAAACTGTTCCTTGAAAGTGAAGTTGCCGGTAGACAGGGTGGAGTGAAGCCATTTGGCATGCTCGCCTTTACTTGCCAGTTCATTGAGTATAGGAGTTAGGACGTCATGTCGTGGCTGTACAGGACATTGGTTAGTTCACTTTTGGAATACTGTGTTAAGTTCTGGTCTCACTGCTATAGGAAGGATGTTGTTAAACTTGAAAGGGTTCAGAAAAGATTTTCAAGGATACTGCCAGAATTGAAGGGTTTGAGCTATAGGGAGAGACTGAATTGGCTGGGGCTATTTTTCCCTGCAGTGTCGGAGGCTGAGGGGTGATCTTATAGAGGTTTATAAAATCATGAGGGGCATGGACACAGTGAATAACCAATGTCTTTTTCCTAGGGTGAGAGAGTCAAAAACTAGGGTGCATAGGCTTAAGGTAAGAGGGTAAACATTTAAAAAAAGACCCAAGGGGCAACTTTTTCAGCCAGAGAGTGGTGCATGTATGGAATGAGCTGCCAGAAGAAGTGATGGAGGCTGGTACAATTACAACATGTAAAAGGCATCTGGAATGTGCCAGACAGGCAATTGTTCTACATCAGTTTAGGATATCTGGTCCGTGAGGATGAATTGGATCAAAGGGTCTGTTTCAATGCTGTATAACTCAATGACTAGGACCCTGGTACTTTGTTCATTATTTTACATCCCAAGTAATATCAGAAACATTAGAACAAAAAGAACTAGGAGGAGTAGGCAATTCAGGCTCTTGAGCCTGCTCTGTCATTTAATACAATCAAGGCTGATCTCATCTAGGCCTCAACTCCACTTTCCTGCCTGCTCCCCATAACCCTTTTTATCCATTACTAATTAAAGATCTGTCTATCTTCTCCTTAGATTTATTGTGTCCTGGTGTCCACTGCACTCTGGGGTACTGAATTCCACAGATTCATAATCTGTTCAGAGAAATAACTCCTCCTCATCTACGTTTTAATCTGCCTCCCTTAGCCTAAAATTATGACCTCTAGTCTGTGCCACAAGGAGAAATATGCATGGTCTACTTTGTCTGTCCCCTTTGGGATCTGGTACACCTTAATTTGATCTCTCATTCTTCTAAACTTCTAGCAAATATAGACCTAAACTGCTGAATCTCTCCTCATAAGGCAAGCCTTTCATCTCTAGAAAGAATCTGGTGAGCATTCTCTGAACTGCCTCGGATGCAACTACATCCTTTCTCAAGTAGGGGAACAAAACTGTAAGCTGTAGTCCAGATGTGGTCTCACCAATGCCTTGTACAGTTTCAACAGTATTTCCCTAATTTTATACTCTATTTCTTTAACAATAAATGTCAAAATTCCATTTGCCATTCTTATTACCTGCTGTACCTGCAACTAGATTTCTGCATTAAACGCACAAAGACACTAGATTCCTCCACACCAAAGCATTTTGAAGTTTATTTCCATTTAGATAATAAATTACTTTTTTATTCTTCCAACCAAATGAATGATTTCACATTTATCCACATTAAATTCCATCTGCCAAACTTTGGTCCATTCACCTAATTCATCCATATCCATTTGTAAATTTCTTATTTCATTGCAATGTATTTTCCTACCTATTTTAGTGCCATCTGCAAATCTGGCTACATTACAAATATTTCTGAATACAAGGCATTAACATAGATTGCAAGTAATTGAGATCTGAGGATTGAACCCTATGATACCTCACTAGTTACAGCTTGTCAATCACAAAACGATCCATTTATTCAGACTCTCTGCTTTCCTCTGCCAAACGTCTATCCAAGCAAAAGTATTAGCCCTAACCTCATGTGATCTTACCTTGCGTATTAACCTTGTGTAGCACCTTATCAACTGCCTTCCAGAAGCCCAACATACATCTACAGGATCCCCTTAATCTACTTCCCCTTGTTATATCTTCAAAGGACTCTAGCAAATTAGTCAAACATGATTTACCCTGCATAAAGTCATGTTGACTCTGATGGATTTCGTTTTCACTTTACATTTCATTACATTAGCATTTTTCCAATCCATTGAAAGCTTTCCAGAATCCAGGGAATTTTGGAATATTATAATCAATGCATTTAGTATCCCTGCTGCCACTTCCTTTAAGACACTTGGATATAAACCATCAGGCCCTGGGGACTTGTCTGCCTTTAATCCCAATAGTTTGCTTGGTCCTTCTTCCCTCCTTTTCTATAACCTCTGCATTACCTGTTACTATTGGGATTGGTTTCAATATCTGCCTCCTTGAAGCTGAACCAAGATATTGGTTTAGTGTTTATGCCATTTTTGTGTTCCCCATTATTAACTCTACAGTAACATACACTAAGGGACCAACATTTACTTTAGCTACTCTTTTCCACTTCATATACTTATAGAAGTTTTTGCTAAGTGGCCTGATAAACTATAGTAGACTGTCAAACAATGCCTTTCAGAACATTCCAGTTTGAATAAAAGGAGAAACCTGGAGACCTATAATAAAAAAAATTCTATCTTTTGGCACACTTTGAATCATTACCAAATCATTAAGATTGGTTTGTTTTTGACAGCAAACAGCTGATAATGTTTAAAGATTATTCCAAGAAGATTTCTTAGCTTTAAGAATACCATCTTAAGCAGAAATGAATACAGATACGTACGAAGATTTTATACTAATGGCAGGATTTTTTTTGTTACACAACTGTCACAATAAGAAATAGCAGTAAAAAGTACAAGTGAATGTACTAATATTTGCAAGGCTCACATCTGCAGTTTAGCTCTGCAATGATAAAGTTACCAACAAATGCATTTAAAAAGCACAAAAAAAAATTTCTTTCGTCTTGGAGGGGTATTACGCTGCTCTCCACTTTTGCTCACCTTTTCTTAAACTAGTGTTTCTGGACGGGTCCCATGTCAGGCTGTTAATATGTTACTAAACCATTACATCAAACACAGATTGGTCCTTTCCTCCTCAAATGCTCTTACCTTCCTCCCGCACACATTTCAGCTCGACACGGATTTTCTGTAATGCATCTTCTAGCTCCATATTCCGACATCTCTCCTTATCTAAGGCTACTTTCAGGTCATTGTACTGCATGGGAATCTGGACAGGTAGAGAAGGGTCTTCACGCCGACGCCCAAACAAACTCTACAGAAAAGAAACAGTGCCATAATAGAACCGCCCACGAAGCAAGAAATCACTATGCCAGTGTGCCGATGGGTGACAAACAGTGGAATGCTGACAAAAATCAAAATCTGGAAGCATCAGTAAAGAAGCCCTTAATTTAATTACTAATACTGACATTAACAGCAGAATGAAAATTTGTTTTAAAAGGACAGGCATTTGAAGAGGAAAATGTTAAGTTTAGTCCAAACGTTTGCATACAGAATTTCTCCAAAATAGGAGTGGGCATGTATTGCTCTAATCGATAACTGATAAATGATGAGTTTTAATTATTGGTTTGATTAGAAGAGGGAACGCTCCCTCACAACATGTCATTAGGAGGCATACCCGATTTTTTTTTTTTTTTCCGGGAAATAAGTACACAGGGAACAGATAAATCAAATATTAAGTATCTTATAGAGAATGATAGAATTAGGATAAAAGATCTACAAAGCGGTTAAATTTGTTGAGATTAAGAAGTATGTTTATAAAATTTTCTGACAAACTACAAGGATAGAAGTATAAATCAAAGATGAACTGCAAAGTTTGATATTAGTAGCACAGAAATGTCTGGATGCAGGCAATTTACTCAAGGAGAACCATGCAAACAGGGATATGACTTTTTAAAATCAGAAGTCAACTGTTCAATTGCTTAACCAATTGTCATACTCTTACCATTTTCAATATATAGTGAGGATTAAACTTGGTGCATGAAGAGGAGAGCCACACTTGTCATGCTTCAGATTTCTTGCAGTTCAGAGCAATCAAAACACTACAAATGGAGGCTGTGCTAAAGAAACTAAATTTTCACAACTCTACAAATTCATTGATGGTTTAAGATCATTTACCTTATCAAATGCCTCATCCAGAGGTCATCATCAGAACAAAAGCAGTCACTCAGAAACTCCTTTGTCATCACATCCCAATCACAGGGCTGTGCAATGGGATAACAAGTTTTCAGAGTGAAAATAGTCCATTCTTTTAAGCTCCCTGAAACACACCTAAATTTGGGCTAGGTTTAGTTTTGATCTCTCCAGATAACAGTGAAGAGTTCAGCAGTATCCAGTCAAACAAAATTAATATTGTGTCCAAACAAGTAAGCATTCAAGTAATCTAAGCAGTGCATGTCAAGGTTAAGACAACAAAGCTCAGTAGATTACTCAATAAGATTTCAAACTAGCATGATTGTGTAGATATTGTGAGTTGAATTAAAGTCATCTTGAGTTTGCATTTACATTTGACTACCTTTTTCTTTTTAATTGGTGGATCCATCTTTGATTGTAGGAAATCAATCAATTTAGATTGTTGTGTGATAGTACCCTCCAGCTTCACTCTATCATGGGAGAATACCATCTGTGGAGATAGAATGACAGACATTAATCTAGGCTTCTGTTTCATTGTGTAACAAGTACCCATAAATCCTTGGCCAATTCATTGAGAACAAGTTTCTCCAGATTTTGCTCCATGTTACAAAACAGGTCATTCTATTTGTCATCCAGCAGGAAGTTTTCAGGTTTTGGCTTTAGTACAGAAATGACAAACTGCAGATCTTTAAACTCCGAAATCACACCTAACCAGGTTATCACAATAGAACTAAAATCTGGAAATGCTGAACAAACTCAGGAAATCTAGCAGCATCTGTAAAGACAGTTCACACTTGAAGTCACACATGCTCTTCTTCAGAAGGAGAGTCAATATCAGTCTCAAACAATCTTTTTCACTCTCTACAGATGCTACCAGAATTAGTGAGTTTCTCCAGTATTTTCTGTTTTTATTTCAGATATCCAGTATTTTGCTTTTAATCACAACAGAAATAATATTCAGCAACACCAGATTAGCACACACTTATTTCCCTATCTCAATCCCCATTCTACCAACAAAGAATACAGATCTGAATTTCATTGGCGCCTGTGCATAGGAACACAATCGGATAGGTGGATTTGTATATTAGAGTGCTGTACTATCTGCGCATAACTGCCCTTGCACCTCTACCATTTTGTAGGTGGCCAAGATGATGTTGAGTGTCTCACTCGGAAGTGACCCAGTCAAGGCCCTTAAAGTGAGCGGTTCAACCATGTCCATTCTCCCACCCCACCTGGTCCAACATGACGACCACCAGGAAGCAGAACGGAAGGACAAAAGCCAAAGTTGTGAAGCCTTAAGTTTCTGTTTTTAGCCACAAAATAGAGCTGAGTAAATTATTACTACAATTTTAGTTAAACTTTGTCAGTACAAATTAGCAGAGACAAGTGTGAAATTTCATTAGTAACTTTATTCTATTACGTTTCTCCCCCACAGGTGCTGGTGCACTACAGCAAATGCAAAGTTCATAAACTCAAATGCATCTTAACGTCTGGACGTCAGAGCTTTATCCTAGCAGTCATACCAATGTATTCTGAAGACCATATTCCTGTGCTTTAGCTATTAGGTTATGTCAAAGTCACTAGCTTCTGGGGAAAAATAGTTGCATAGCTTCCACATCTATTTGTTTTTAATTGCTTTTATGTGCCTTCTGTCAGTCATCACATACTAAGAGAATGATCCAATTTTCTATTTAACTCTCACCTGCATGTTTGCAATCTGGTATTCCAAATCACTCTGTTCAGTTTTCAACAGGTCAGCCTGATCCAGGGCTTCCTGCAGTCCTTGAGTCAAGCGGAAGATGTGTGTTTTATGCATATCTAGCTGCTGCTGCAGTTTAGTTTGCTAAGTAAAATGAATAATCAGAACTTTTGGAACATATGACAATATACAGATAGACAAAAGAACATTAACAATCAAAACAAAATCAAAACTCAATCGGAGTCAAAACTCAAAAAGTCTCCCAGTGTTAACAACTCCTGCAACTGCAAACTACCTAGGTATTTAATTTCTACTAAGTAAAAGATACAGCAGAGTAGATGCTTGGCACACTTTTTTACGTTCCATGAATTTTTAACAGAAGTAAAAATGATCGCCCTGTACTTTTAATTGGTGTCCTGCCATGGACACCTGCTGTACTGTCTATAAAAGACAACCTTCTTCTTTAACCTTTCATACTGAAACTTATTTCATTACTCCATCAAAATATTCAAATTCCAGATGTAGCATTAAACAGCACCAACACATGTTCATATTTAATTCCCAGCATCTAAATAAATCAAGCATTTTGCATAAGAAAAACATTTTATCATGCAAGGAATGATCTGATATTTGCACTACCTCCTCGATCAGTCTGTGTTTCAGCTCTCGCTCAGTTTCTAGTTTCTGCTGAAGGCCACGTGCATTCATCTCCAGCATGGTGTGCTTTTTTTCCAGGTCACTCAGCTGTAAATGAGAATGGATTAAAAACATTCAAGTATAAATATAGCGTTTCTAATTAACAATGAACTGTATCAACAATATTGTGCATTCAAGTAAGGTAACAAATCCTGTCATTCAAACTAAATAAGTTTCAAAGTAAGTGCCAAGTAAAGAGCTATATATTGATTTACCATGTGGCCACTCTTTATCAGGGGACAGTGTCAGGTCCTGACATTGGGGTTGAGGCAGGGTGCCACATCCCAGGCAGGATGGGACGGATTATTTGGTTTAATGGCAGAGGATTGTCAGGTCCCAGGCAGAGAGGTGGTGTGCTGGGTCTTGGTTTGTAATATGTCTGCGAGATGTGGTGAATTGAGGGGCTCAGTTTAATATTTACACAGAAATTAGACTAGGCTTTTATTTGTCGAACTTTTGCTAGGTAACAATTTACTTGATACAGTGGAACTCTCTAAATTCTCCAGTTTGTACAGATATGTTTAGGGATCCAGGCTTTAAGGAATTGTCTATTGGAATATTCAAATTCTCAGGTAATTCCTTCAGAGTCTGAAATGATCCCAACGTGCAACTCCTACATATGATGCAGAAACAGTTATACTTGCCCCTTAGCAACCCAAACCCCAACGTTGTCTTACTACATATGGATACAGGTTGCTTCAGCACTTATGAATATTGAACATTGTGCAGAATTTCTAACCCTATAATGGAGTGAAATTCCCTCATAAAGCAGCTGAAGGTGATTGGGTCTCAGACACTATCTTGAGGAACTCTTCCAGCGACCACATGGGACTGAGATGATTCACAAACAACAACAACCATCTTTCTTTGTACTAGGTATGACTTCAAAAGGTGGAGAATTTTCTCTCCCTGATTCCTACTGGGTCCAGTTTTGGCAGAGCTCCTTGATGTCAAATGCTGTACGGATGCCAATGGCAGTCTCTTTCACTTCACTTCTGGGATTCAGTTCTTTTGACCATATTTAGACCAAGGATGTAATGAAGTCAGAAGCTGGGTGATCCTGGCAAAACCCAAACTGAGTGCCAATGAGCAGTTTATTACAGAGTAATTGTTGCTTGATAGCACTCTCAAAATCCATCCCATCACTTTGTTGACAATGGACAGTCGACTGATGAGGCAGTAACTGGCTGGATTGGACATATCTGGGCAATGTTTCTTTTTGCCAGGTTAACAACAGCATTGTAGCTGTACAAGAACAGCATGACTTCAGGAGCTTGTTCACCAAAACCATACAATTTCCTACTTCTGCTTGTACAGATATGATTTTTATAGTGCTTAGAAAGTAAATAATTGTGTGTAAAATGATGTTATGGAACCTACTAGATAGAAATATCATACAGTTGTAAGGAATGACATCTGGGATCACCAGGCCAATGACAGTGGATGGGAAACTATTATGGAATGTTGAGTTCTAACCTTCACTCTTGACAACTGATCAAAATATGTTATATATTCACTATATTTGTTGCAATGTCCATTTGTTGGCCTGGTACATAAACACTAGTTAAACTAGCTAGGCCAGATAGGGCCCAGAAGGAGGCTATGTTTGATGTAATTCTGTCTTTGCTTCTATCTTGATTACAGAGGGTATGACAATTGGCTTGGTTCAAGTTTGTGAGTAAAGTATTGTAGTGGCTTGCCATTGCATTCTGCAAGGTGGCTGACCAGCTAACTCTTCTGCTCTTTCTGCCTGCCATGAGGGACATTCAACAGATTTTACAGACTGATACCCAACTCAACTGGCCATAAAACAAACATTTCAACAAGTCCTGGCATGGGATGTAAACCCAGATCTTCTGGCTCAGAAATAGGAATGCTTTTACTGGGTGAAAGGACCTCCTTTACATAACTCTGCGCAAAAATTAAATGATGACATCTGATGTCTTTTCCTGCTCTACCTACATGCCCAGAAGAGGGAGCTACAATGCTTTTATGCTGGTGACTCTCAAAAAACAGATAGTGAAGATTATCCCAACAGTAAGCCACTGTTTATCATATGCTATTTAAATGGAATTTTTCATAAATCTTTGTTCAAATTTCAAACAATTAATAAGACTTTCAAAAAGCAAATATTGGAACATTCAACTTTCTTTTTAAGTGTATTTCTACATTTTATTGCTTCACCATCACCATAATGTGCAAAATTATGTTCTGCTCCCAATATTAGATGTAGCATTTGTAGATAACTTGACAAGGGAAGAATACAGCAGTTTGGGTTCGAATATGTATATATTAAAATCAGAGATATTAAAATCATTTGTACCAAATACCAATTACAAGTGCAGTGTGCAACTTGAAATTATTAGAGAATTGCCTTAAAATTTTATGTAAAACCAACTTGGTGGGGGTGCGGGGGGAGGAAATCCAGAGGTTTCTTAATCTCATTGTGATCCATTGGTTTAGGAGAATAATCATTCCTTTTAAAAAAAATCCACTAGGTCTTAAATAGCATATTAAGATAAAATCTACAATGTACTTAAAGCTCAAAATACTTTCCAAGAAGCTGACCACATCTTAAATGTATTAAAACACATGAAAACATACTACAGTAGTACTGGTTGTTTTTCAATTCCTTAAGTGTTTGAATTGCTGACAGAGATACCTATGCAAATATGTAATGAAACACACTAATGCAATGAGTCAGTAACTTGATTATGCTTCAGATCTAGAGCTTGACAGATTTATTTATTCAGTAGTGAAATCTTATTTTCCTCAGAGTAGCATCCTATATCATATTATTGAACAGTATCTCTGTATTGCAAGATGAAAAATAAGCATTACCAATGAGCTTGTTTGATAACTTAACAATTCTTTTCCTTCGCATCAAACCATCATATTTACATGAACATGCATATATAGATATAAACCTTCCCCTAACTCCAAAAGTATTCAGGGCAACATTTTCTATTGAGATAATATTGCTAAGCTTGTGATGCAAGTTATAGGAAATAATGAGAAACACAAATTTCATTCAACCACCCTTTTTATGCAGAGGGCATGCAAATATGTCTTTTAAAGGACAACAGAGGAAGTAATCAGCTTATTAGCAACATCTACATTTGGTTGACAATTTTCAATGAAGAAACAGGGCAGGGCAGAAAGAGGGTAGGGGATAAGGAAGAAATCTTCAATTCTTAGTTTAAGCACTGATCTAAATAACCAAATTTCTGATTCTGGCCTAAATAATACCACAACCCATGTGGAGTGCACATTTATACCAGCTAGAGTTTTGATCCTGTCAACCAATATCCGAGGAGGAGACACTCGAGTAGCCAGAGAGACAGCTATTGTCTGGATAATGGCACAAAATTTAGATGCTGCTAACCAATTCTAGGTTGCTTTTTAAAAAGCAAGTTTACTCCTCTAAAAGGCTACATTTTCCTGCCTATCTGGCTTCTTCTCTACCGCTATGTCTCTCTCTCCTTTCTCACAATCAGAGTTCTGTCTTCTCTCCTACAAAACGCCTACTTCAGATCAAAGATTTCCTTCACTCATCATCGAATCCTCTCCACGTTTCTGATGATACCACTTTATTTCCATCAGGCAACACATGTTCGATACTCACAACTTCCTGACTACTTAGTGTAATGAAAACTTTGTTTCTGGCAAGTCTAACCAATGGTCAGCTCCTTATCTACTAGTTAAGACTGTTCTAAGTTCAGTTCCTGACATACTTATACTTCCTGTCTTAGAATGAAACTCCAACAGCACCAAAGCTGTCGCTAAGTGCTTGTGTGCACTTTCACGACAAGAAGTCTCCACAAAGTCAACAACACTTGAATAAGTGAGTTCCATAGCTGAGGTCACTATTTAAGAGCTCCCAGACCAGACAGAACGGAAAAGCTTGTGGTCTGAGGTGGCTCTGCTCTCACTCATCTTCACTTGAATTGATCCCATTGAGAAGTTACTATTCTTCTGAACATTATATGAATGATGCTTGTGACACAGTGGTAGTGTCCCTATCTCTTGGCCACAGGACCTACGTTCAAGTTCCATCTGTTTCAGAGGTGTGTCACAACATGCTGAACAGGTGGATTGAAATTATCTACATTGATGCTGCTTTTAAGCTGTCAATACATTATCCCACATATTGGTTTTTCTCTCTTTACATTTAAAAGATTCCTCATGTACTCTTCACATCTTCAAAACAGTAGGAGGTGTTTACTTCTGTCTGCCCTTCTTCCAACCACACACTTTCAACTGTCCAAGCTTATTGTCACTTGACCGCTTCCTCAATTACCAAATACTTTTCCTCTACTTTTCAACTTGTAATGTGACAGTGACCTTAGTCCTAGGTTTCCGTTTTTTCAAAGAAACAATTTATTCTACCATTATATACATCTTCTACAAGATAATAAGTACTTCCACAATTTCATTCTGCTATAGTGTCAAGACTACGAAACAAACCACAATAAGCAATGTGTCAATTGAAAAGCCAACAGTTTGGGCAAAGTCTCCTACTGAAACGCTGCCAAACATATACCACAAAGTAGAAAGAATGCACACCATGAGCATCATTGCTAAGAGATTAATTTTCTGATTTTTGATACCATCTAATAAGCACCATGTAATCCACCAGTCAAATTTACCCATTTATCTAAGTAGGTTATGTATACTTTGACTTGGAATTAGACCTTAACAAATGCATTACACTACCACGAAAACTAAAATCCCATCAAAATTTGGAAATAAACACTGATCTAAGTTTTCAGCCAAAACTAACCGTATCAGAAAGGCTTTCTGCCTTCAATTTCTGCTCTTTCAAAGAATGTTGTAAGGTTAGGATCTCAGCCTTATGTTCCTTCACGGCCAGTTCCACGGCTTGCCGGGACTCATTGCCACGTTGGTCTGCACGCATTCTGTGGAATCAAAAAGAAAGTAAACCAACAAAGACCACAAGACAACAGCTATTTTCACAAATTCACCAGATCAATACCCTTGTATTGAGAAGGCTGCACAGAATAAACACCCTCAGAAATGAACTGGGAGAATTAATGATCTTGACAGGTTAGGTGACATAGCTGGCCTCAGAGTTTATATATTGGTAGTAACACATGTAGTCTCTTCAGAGTTGATTTAGATATCATATAATAGTTTATTCTCCATCCAGTAGATAATTCTACAGGAGTGGACTTCTGTTCATGACGATCCCAAAATATCTAGAAAGCTTTTCTTTGGGCACCTAGCAAATGTGGCATAACAATTGAAATATAATAACAAATTACTAGAAGACATCAAGCTCGAAAAACAACAGGAGTGAAATAGTTCCACAGAGGCTTGTATACTGTCACCAAGTCACCCTTTATTTACACATGGAAAGTCCTTGAATCTGGTACAGCCTCATCAGAGTCAGCACCCAGATTGTCAGAACCTCTGGCACTCCTGTTTATATCTGTCAGTCAGGGCTGCCTGATTGGACCAGGTTAAAAGCCTCAATCAAGGAACTCATATTCTATGAGGTCCAGCTGGTTGTTCTCATTACAATCGCTGCATCCTCCCCCTCCAAGTCTGAGGACATAGGCCGGTCTTTTTCCTTGGAGAATCTTTTGGGGTATTTTAGCACCAGGTCAGGTTCCTCCGACTTGGTGTCTGATACGGGCAGCGTGTAATACACAGAAATGAGCCTCTTGCACCATGAGCACCTTGGTAGATATTCACTCTCTTCCTCTGCTGGCAAAGGCATTGATGCAGTTACATCCATCTCTGATTCAAAAGTTTTATCAACGCTTGACGGAGAATGTGAGCCCACAGGTTCCAGCATCCTTTCCAACTGTTCCAAGGAGCAGGGCACATTTTGCTCCCTATCTGTTTGCCAGTTCGTGGCTTTCATATGGTCCATGTGCTTATTCAGAACTGTTGCGCCGATCCAAAATTTATACGTCACTGGTCCTGACCACGTGTCAACCATGTCTCTTAACCAAACAGGGCCATTTCCATGATTCCTGCAGCAAACTTCATGCTCTATAGTAATCAGTCTCTCTGACACTGGCACCTGGGAATGTCAGATTTAACCTGGTGCAGTCTTTTCCCATTAGCAACTTTGGTCGTGCTATCACTTAAGTTATACGTGGGATGGCTCCTATAGGAGCCGGGACAATTTGATATTTAGTGAAGCTGTAGGTTGTTTCTTCAAGTCTGCCTTCAAAGTTTGGACTGCTCTTTCTGACAGACCATTGGATGATGCATGGTATGGAGCTGTCCTTCTATGTCGAACCCAATTCAACCTGAGGAAATACTTAAATTCCCTGTTGGTAAATGATGACCTGTTATCTGTGACCAACACTTCTGGGAGCCCATGCACTTTTTTGAACACATGTAGTTTTACAATGGTCATCCCTGTGTTTGACGAATGGACTCTTATGCAAGTCTAACCACTGAATGGACATTTACGATCATGAAGAACATTGATCCACAAAAGGACCTGCACAGCGAACGTGCAACAGAGTCTAAGGTTTACCCACCCATTCCTATGGATGTAGGGGAGCTGCTGGTGGTAATTTTTGTCCTTGTTGGTACTCTAGGCACTGCCCACCAGGCCTGCATCTACGGCTGGCCATAAGACATAACATCTCGCCAACATCTTCATTTTGGAGACCCCTGGATGACCCTGGCAGAGTTCAGCCAGTGGCAACCTTTGCTCAGGACAATCACTCTTGCTCCCCATAGCAATATGCCATCCTCTATTGTGATCTGGTCTCTCCAGGTCCGGAAAAGGTTTCAATTCTGGTTGTGATGGTCCTTTGGTTTCCCAACACCACGACCTCTTTCAGTTTTGACAGGACCGAATCTATCTGCATCTAAAGTCTGATATTGGCAGCTGTGACTGGAAGTGTGCCCAGAAAATTTAAAACCATTACATACTCTTCTATTGGTGGTACTACTGGTGGTGTACCTGCCAATGGGAGGTGGTTCAATGTATCTGCATTTGCTACTTGGCCTCCCAGTCAGTGTTCCAACTTGTAATTATATACACTTAGTATTAGAGCCTACCGCTGAATTTGGCCTGAAGCTATGGGCAGCACTGCCTTGTCCTCTAAGCAGACCTAGTAGGTGTTTGTGATCTGTTATTATCACCAATTTTCATCCATAAAAGGTATTAGTAGAACTTCCTGACTTCAAATATGACCGCCAATCCTCTCTCAATCTGGATGTATTTATGCTCTGCATTAGCCGAAGGTCCTGGATGTATAGACAATCATGAACTAATACTAACTGATGATGTACAGGGTGGCATCGCATGTCAATACCAGATCTCGCTTGGGATTGTTGTGTGCTAACACTTTAGAGGATGATTGCTATTTCTTCACTGCACTGAAAGCTTTGGCTTGGCTACGTGACCATTTCCAAGGCTGACCCTTTTTTAGGGGTTGATGCAAATGCCAAAGGGTAGATGCAGGTTATGTATGAACTTTCTATAATAATTTACCAGGCCAAGTAATGACCTAAACACCTGGAGAGACATGGGAGCCAGGGCATTTTGATCACCTTCACTTTGTCTTCCAACAGGTGTAACCTGGTCTTGTCGATTCTGTAGCCCAAGTAGGTCACTTGGGGTACCAGGAACATGCATTTCTCCCTTCTTTGTCCTTAGATGTTTTTCTGAGGTGGGTGTCTGCCTATATCCAAGTTCTCTAAGTGCGCCCTGTTAGTCTTCCCAGTTATTAGCACATCATCTAAATAAATGGCGACCTGAGGTAGACCTTGCAAAATGTTCTCCATCATCGACTGAAAAATTGCACAGGCTGACAATACCCCAAACGGCAGTCTTGTATATTGGTACAAACTCTGATGCATATTAATTGTAGCATACTTCTAGGAATCCTCATTTAAACGCATTTGCAAATAAGCGTGGCTTATGTCCAGCTCTGTGAAGGATAGTCCTCCTGTCAGCTTTGTGCATAAATCCTCTATCCAAGGGATTGAATAATTATCCAGCTGCAAAAAACAGTTTACCGCTAGCTTAAAATCCCCACAAAGGTGAACCAACCCGTCTGCTTCAAAATCGGTATGACTGGTGCTACCCATTCCGCAAACTGGATGGTTTGATGATTCCTTCACTTTCCAGCCTTCTGATTCCTGGCACTAATTGCACTAGGCAGGCCTTGCAGAATAGTGGAATTGTTTCCCGGTCAACATGCAAGGTGGCCTTGGCTCTTTTGATAGACCCCAGACTTCCCGAAAGTCTTCCAGGACATTTAGTTAGGATTCACTTAGGTAGCCATTTTCTAATAGAAAAATGTTGAGCCAGTTGAGGTGAATCTCTCTCAACCAATTTCGCCCGATCAAGTTTGGGCCTGAGCCTTTTACTACAAGCATTGGGAACTGAACCAGTTGCTTTTCGTAAGAGATCAGAACAGAAACTGTACCCTTAATCTATAAAGGTTCCCTGCTGCTTCAGATGCCGAAGAAAATTTGAATCCTTTGGTCAAGGTTTGGCTTTGTTTTGCAGTTTTGCTGCGGGCTGACCTAAAGTCCCTCTGTTCAGTCTACGTCCTGAGTGAAGCTATGCAATTGACTTCACTCTAGTGGTGTACCTCAAGCTCAGTCGGACTGGTGAGGGTGTCCACTTCCATCAGAATACCCTGCAGCTCATGTGCTCCATTTGCTGTATTTTCCCATAATAAAGCCAGTTTTAGTGCCTGCTTAAAGTCCAGTTGGGCTTCAGCTAGCTGAAGCTTTTGCATAGTTACATCATTAATCCCACATGCCAACTGCTCTGTAACCATCTCATTAAGGAATAAATCAAAGTCATATGCCTCAGACAGTCATCTTAACCTAGTCAAAAATCCTGATACTGATTTCTCCTGGTTTCTTAAATTGCCAAGTAAAAATGATAGTGTCTCAGAATTAAAGGAGGCTTGGGTTTGTTATATTCCATAACTGAATTAAGGATGTGGTTAGGTTGATTGACCATACTAAAATTGTCCATAGTGTCTAGGGGTGCGCAACGTAGGTAGATTAACCATGTTATATGCGTGGTTACAGAGATATTTTAGGGGTCTGGGTCTGGGTGAGATGCTCTTTGGAGGATTGATGTAGACTTGATGGGCAGAATGGCCTGCTTCCACACTGTAGGGATTCTATGATTCTATAAATTTGTCAACTCTTCAAAGGTTTCAGTATCTGGTGCCTGAGGAAACGGTAGGGTCCTAATAACAGAAAAAGCTGCAGGTCCACGGCTGTCAGGAGAATTACTTGTTGCTTTTCATCTGCCCCAATGTTGTTTGCCTGGAAATAATGATGCATTCTTTCAACATACTGGGCCCAGTCTTTGATGGCAGGGTCAAACGAGTCAAGTTTCCCAAATAATGGCACAATGCAAGAAATTCTTATACCAACTCAAAGATGACTGTTGTGAGTGACTTTCTTCAGGAAAGTGCTTTACTCTCGTCGCCAGTGAAATAGCTCCACATAGCCAGTATTCTGTCGTCACTAAGACACCCTATATTTACACATGGAAAGTCCTTGACTCTGGCACAGCCTCAACAGAGTCAGCACCCAGATTGTCAGAATCTCTGACCTCCTCTTTTTATCTGTCAGCCAGGGCTCCTTGATTAGACCAGATTAACAGCCCCAATTAATGAACTCATATTCTATAATGTCCAGCTGGCTGACATTGTTACAATCACTACAAGGAGCATTTTGGAATTAGTGCATTTTACAGGAGTCTAGTTACAACAGAAAATTTAACTTAACTTGATCTTACTTACACGAAGGTGTCCAGTGAGATTATCACTAGACTAGGAATCCAAAGAGCCAGGCAAATAATTTTAGGATATCGATTCAAATCTAACATTTTCTAAGCAACCTTTTCAGAGATGTTATTGCACACCTCTGAAATAGGTAGGAAAATCTGGAATTGAATCTAGTCTCAGCTGCAGAGACTGTGCAGCTACTGTCAATTGCCAGCTGACAAATGGCTATTAACATTCACACCACTCAAGTGCCAGGCAATGATAATCTCCAATAAGAAAAATCTAATTACTTCCCTTTAAACGTAATGGCCTCGCTGTTATTGGATCTCCCAATAACATCCTGGGGGTTAGTATTGACCAAAATTGAACAAGACTAGTCACACAAATTTTGTGGCTACAGGAGCAGGTCAGCGTCTAGGAATTTTCTCTGATTTCTTAAAGCATGTCGACCACCTACAAGACAGAAGTCAGGAGCATGATGATACATTTGTCTGATGAGTGCAGCTCCAACAACACAAGAAGTTTGACATCTTCCATGATGAAGTATCCACTTGTTTTGCCTCCACATCATCAAGCATCGACTCCCTCCATCACAAAGGGAAAGTAACGGCAGTGTCTACCATCAACAACATAAATTTACTAAGACTCCTTAGACAAGCCTTTTCCAAATCTATGACCACTGCCATTAAGGTTTCAGATACACGGGAACACCACCAATTGCAAGTTCTCCACCAGGATACTCATTATCCTGACTTGGAATGTATCACCGTTCCTCCAGTGTTGCTGGGTTGAAATCCTTGAACAGCCTCCCTAACAGCAATGGGAGTGGATCAACATCAAATGGACAGCGGTAGTTCAAGGCAGCAGCTCACCACCACCATCCCAAGGGCAAGTAGGGATGGGCACAAATGCTGGCCGAATCAGCAATGCCCAAACCCATGAATACATTTGTTAAAAAGTTGTTAAGTCATATCTGGTTTACTAATGTCCTTCAGAGAAGGAAATGTGCTATTCTCACCTGATATGGACTACATGTGGCTCTACACCCACAGCAATGTGTCTCTTAAGTACCATCTGAAATATCCTTGTAAGCCACTCAAATCAAGGGCATTTAGTAATGGAAAACAAATGCTGGTTTTGTGAGCAACGCCCACATCCCACGAACTAATTTTTAAAAATATCCATGTTTAAGCAATGCAAGCACAAGGATGCCGTATGCATGTACATCCATTCCAATTATATATTAAAATTACATATATTTTAACATTAAACTCAGTCATCAAGAAAGTTGTTCCTTTTTAAATAAAACATTCAATTGTTTAAATAAGAAATTGTCCAGGAAGATAAATAGGTTTTAATAATTCAGCTTTCAGTTCCAAAAGCTGCATTAGAACATTTCTTATAATCAATAATGGCCATCATGACAACCGTGACTTTTCTGCACAATAGGGGACTGGATAACTCACAGCAGAGATCTATACATGAATCACGACTGGCCATGACAGTCTATTTATATCAGGGCAAACAGAATTTGGATTGAAAACGATGAATTTAAATGACTACTTTTGCAGTCTGTGTGCTGAACGAAGTGGCTTTGACAATTCACATTGTATTTGTGATGCTACATCAGGGAAACAGAATTTCTTCCTGCTTCACTACCCATATGTAGGATCAAGCAAAAATCCCCAATACTTAAAACACTGGAAAAAACCCTGGACTTTTCAAAACCTTTAATAGGTAAAAGCGACAGCTCGCCAGAGCCCTGTGAAGAATACACAAACACAACTCACAGAACTAAGTTTGCTGTCTGGTACCATTGTTCAGCCACGAATTCCAATTTCCACCTCCTCCCTAAGAGGACAATCAAACGAAAACAACAGACCCTAGCCCGAGACAGCTTTTACACCTCAGGCTACATAGCTCTGGTAGCAAATGACCTTCCACACATCTCATCTGTATAGTTCTAATCACCTAGTACACTGATAACATATTTATATAATGTTACCTACTTCAGCATCTATATACATTTAATGCTCCACTGTACAGTATGCTTCCATTATGCAGAATTTCCTCCTACGTGACAGTACCTGTTCTGCTTTTCAATATCCAGTAGTTTCTTCATTTCTTGGATGCGCCGCTCAAGTTGTGTTTTTTCTTCTTCAAATTCAGCTTTCCAGGTTTCCCACTGCCGTTCTTTCTCAAGAAGCTCATCATTCAACGTCTCCAGATCCATCACCTGCTCCTCCAGCATTGAGCAGGTTGTCTTCAGTGTCTCGATTGTCTGAAAGAGAAATGGATTAGAAGAGGAATCATTAAAAGGTCTACACAACTAAGGAATGTGTCAGATATAATGGAGTAGAAAATACCAAGGTTTCTTCCAGCACTCGAGAAGCCAAACTGAATTTTCACCTAGTGTATACATTTTTTTCTCCCATATATATTCACAGCAGCGTTTACTAAAATATACACTGTTCTCTTAATTCTGATTTCTCAGTGTTAGTTTATGTTTAGACTGTCCACATTACCTCAATACATTACCAGACTAATGGACGTGGACTGAAATTAGTTACCATATTTACAAGGATAACCAAGTTAAAACAGATAATTGGGGTTAATTGATTACTTTATTGACAGGGTAGATATTAAGTGAGCAGGAGGAGGGCTGGATGGCTAGAAAGAGCTGCGTGACTTAACAGTTAATCAACTCTATCCACAAAGAAAGATGCTGTGGTTTCTGTCTCACTGCCGCTTGGATCCTAATTGATATTGATAGCAAAGGATGGTTGCCTAAAGGTGAAGATTGGAAACTAAGAGTTTGAAGAATTGAAGTTAATTTAGAGAAAAATGGCTGAAGCCAACTGCAAAACGTCAGGATGTGTCTTCCATTAACAATTTGTGAAATTGAATCTCATGATTCAATGGAAAAACGAGTGGGTACTTTCTTAAACAAGAAAAAAAGCAAGGTAAGGGCTTGGCACTGTCACTTCCCACTAGAAAGTATAGTCAGAGCTAGAGACACCATTCAATACAAATGTTTGGAAATTGAATAAAAACTAATCGCAACACGTAGAAGAAAGATGACCCATTAAATATATATGAGGCATGGTCAGACTTTGGCAAATTTAGAAAGTAGATGAATATTCTACAGAAGAACATAATTTAACAGACTAGATGCACAACTGCAAAAATTCTACTTGAAGATTCCCAATTCAAGACTTGGCTTTAAATTGTTGGGCTATTCCAAGGTCTTGTGTGGATAAATTCCTGATATTAACAAAAGTTATATTTTCAAAAATAAATATTCCTGGAACAAATTTCAGAAGGCTTAAAAAAAAACTTCTCGATAAATCATTCACTCCTAGCAGCCTTCATGGATCAAATTTGGCAATAACTCAAAGAGTGGAGGTTTCAATGGTAATGGTAATGAGATCAACCAGATATAGGCCAAAAGGGTCAATACAAAGAGTGAGGATAGAGATTCCTCTAGCAATAATAATTGACAACAGGAGTTGGGAATTGAAACAGAAGAATCAACTCTAAAAATGCCTAGGGTATGATCAACAGGGATTTTAGATCGGATTTAAAATACCATTAGATAATAAATTGTCTGAAAGGGAACATGTAATAATTTTCTTAAAATTAGGCATCATGCAAAGGATTTAGAAGGAGAAGGTGGTGGTACTGATCAAGCAGACGGAATTATTCTAGTTACAAGAAGCTTTAGCTCAATCATGAAAAACATTCAAATGAAACTGGACACGGAATACAACTACATTATTGTTTTTGTCAGTGGATTTATAGTTTATACAATCCATTAACAAGACCTAACTTCCCTAATTAAAATATTAGGCAGTGTTATTACTAGCCACAAATAGGATTTGAAAGGATAAAAGTCTAATTATTTTCAAACTACATCAGCAGTTTCCCCATCTGCTCACAGGTTAAAAATCTTACTAACAGACGTGGGAGTAAGGGATGATGAGTATATTAAACGTGTAACACATTGCATTCAAAGCTTTTATGTGACTTCTTTTCTAATTAATCTATTCAAAAATGTTATTACACACCTCTGGAGCAGTTGGGACTTGAATCCAGGCATCCTGGACCAGGAGGTATGGACATTACCACCGTACCACAAGAGGGCCCCAAGTGTTTATTTGACCAATTTTTTTCTAATCAACTTGTTGAGACATGTTATTGCACACCTCTGGAGCAGGTGAGACTTGAACCTGGGCCTCCAGATCCAGGGGTAGGGACACTGCCACTGTACCACAACAGCCCTAAGTTTTTATTTGAAGAGAAATATGGAAAATCTATTAATGCTGCAAGTGGTTAAGCAGATGATTAGGGTCAAAGCGATTAATTAATTGACTGGGTAGATTTAACAGAGAAACTAGTGTGACTGGTAGAAAAAAGGAGTTGTAAAACTGCTAGTTAATAAACAATACCAAAAAAAATGTTTTGGTTTCTGTTTCAGGTGACTGGCTTGGATCAGAACTGACAAACCTGAAGTTTTTCTAATCTTTAAGTCAATACCAAGCTCTCCCAAATACCCAAGCACAAAGACTCTGACTCTGGTGGTACAACGCAGACGTGTTAAATTAATAATATTTGATATTATATATGTGTGAATTATATTAACATTGTATTAATATTTATAGTAATTTTTTAAAAAGGTTATATCAGTAGGCCTGATAAAAAGATAGAACATTGAAAAGCACAGAGGTAAATTAATCAATAGGTGTGTACTAACCTGTTTTTGGTTACTGAGCTGGAGCTCTTGGTCGGATAGCTCCTGGCGCATCCTGCCCATTTCCAGCCGGAGCTGGGCTCGTTCATCTCCAACACAAGACAACTCTTCCAGCTGCTTGGTCAGGTAGTAATTCTGGTTGTTCAGCTCAGCATTTTCCTGGCTCACTTGGTTTAACTGTTCCTCCAGATCTGAAATAACCTATTGCAGAGACAACACAATCCCAAATACATTGCAATCCTTCATCTGTATGCATGCAATATTTAAAACATTCGCCCGTGTGGTATTTAACCATCTAAGTCTATTCGAATAAAATCTGGGTTCTAGATAATTTTATTTAAAAAGCATCTTTAATGCTAATACTTAACTCAAACATTGTCCCATCCTTCCACCTCATTCTAAGTTACAATTACTGTCAGAGTCCATTGAGGAAATAATTGTGACCTGTTACACTTCCTTTCCTTTTTATTGAATGCAAATTGCCACCAGACCACAAAAAGTGTCAGAATCTGAGCACTCAAAAATTCACACTTCAAAGGTTGGAAATCATATCAAAATCCCTTAGACTGTTCCCTTACCACATGAAACATCCTCTTCAAAGCTATATGCATATAGCCCGACCACAGTAGAGAGAGCTGTAAGCTCAAGTGATTCATTAGGGAGAATTTCAACCTCTCTCCTGCTTCCCAAACACACACAATATTTGAACCTTGCTTTCTGAACTTGCTATATGCCATTGTCATCAACAAGTGAAATAGAAGTGTAAATATGCAATAAAGTTCAATGAAGGAATGGGCAGCTTGAATTTTAATCATTAAAGACGGAACTGAATAGTGATTGGTCAGTATTAAGGTGGATACTCTTGGTGCAAGTGAAGAGCTTCATAAATTCTTGTATGGGTCTACTTATGAAAGTATGTCATTTTTTGGGGAATAAAAATGACTTTAACAAAGTACGATATCCCTAACATTACCTAGCCTCCACATCTCTACACTCTCCCACCCTCCCAAGAATGGCTTCCAAGATTCTCTCTCCTCCCAACCCTTCCAGGCCTTCTAATAACCTTCTCCCCACATCTCTCTAGTCCTACCCCAGGAGTCTCACGTCACTCTTTCTGTTTACAGCTGCAGTCTAGTTTCCAAGATCTACCTGTCCGACCGATCCAGCCACTCAATCTAGCAAGAAACAGATATCAAAGATAGAAAAAAAACCCAGTGAAGTCATTCTTCCCCAGCTCCAAAAATGTCTCCCAATTTTATTCCGTCTAGCAATCAAACATCAATACCGCGATAAAAAACAGACTTTACGAAGCTAAAAAGACTGCATACCCTCATAAGGCTGGAAATGAAGTTAATCACTGTACCACAAATATCCACCCCAACGCTGACCAGTCACTATGTATTTCTAATTCTAGTGGTAAAAGCCAGACTAAATTCATGCTGATCAATATACAGCACAGAAATGCTCAAGCTTCACTAAATCATATGTTTACACTTTTGCACTTCTATTTTATGCAGGGATGAAGAAAGGTGCAGCAGGAACTTGAAAGCAACTGGAAAATACTTGGATGCAACGTGACATAAAAAGAAGTAATTTTTCTAGCTTCAGTTGAAGGGCTGTCTCTTTAACTCCAGTCACAGTGCAGTTAAAAGTAAGCCCAAAATAAAATTCACATCACCCACCTAAACAGATACAAATACATTTTATAAATTATTCTTACATTGTGGATTTCAGGGAAGCACACAAATGCCACCACATTCACAAAAACACAGGCTTGAGATTAATTCAGTTATGCATCGTGACAGTCAGTTATTTTGGTTTTATTCAAACCCACGACAGATGGAGAAAAAACACAAGTAGGAATGAATGGAAATAAATAAGAGAACATTTTAAAACTATCAAAGGTGAATTCAGTTTCTTCAGTAGAGAGGAATAATAGGCCCCGATTTATCTCAAAAGTTAATAAAAAAACAATAGTAATTCAGGATATGAATTGCAATCTTTTATTATTTACCTTTCAAGGTCCTACTGCATCCTTTGTAAAAATACACATTGTTATTTATGCACTTGCTCATTTGTTCAATAAATTTTATTGACACTATAAGCCTAAAGTACATCTGATCTTGCACTATCCTTAATGATGGTTGAAGTCAGGAGATAAATCCTATGGAAAGCACTGATTCTAGAAGATAAAATATGTCAGGGAGTTTTATTTCCGTGTCAAGGCTAGTCAAGATAATTGCAAAATTAGTGATTGCTGTATTTCAACTGAAAATGTCAGCACCAAGACTTAAATCATTTTATATAAGGAAAAACATGGGTCCAAATACTGACCCCAGGAAACACCCTTTCTGTCCTGAAAGATACCCAATATCATTACTGTTTCATATCTCAGCCAACATTGCTACGGAGCCATTTATTCCATGGTCAAGGACTTTCCTCACAAGTCTGTTATGTGGCAACATATCAAATGTCGTTAGAAGTCCACGTTTACCACGAAGGCCTTCCCCTCTCATTGGCCTTTTCTGCTACCTCTTCAAAAAACTCCAGCAAATTAGTTAGACATTATTTTTCCTTGGGAAATCCATGCTGACTCTTGCAAAGCAGTCCACATTCTTCCATGTAACCATATAACTATTAATGCTATCCTGAACAATTTTTGCGAGATGCTCCTCACCACTGACATTATCATCTGAAATTGCTGAGTGGATCTTTTCAAACTTTTTCAAAAAAGGTTGCAAGGTCTGAAATTCTCCAATCCTCCAGCATCACTTCCAAATCCAGGGAAAATTTAAATGAATCTGCAATTTCTATTCTCACTAAGTTTAGATGCATCTTATCTGGTCCTAGTGCCTTATCAATTTCATGTACCAACAACTTATCCAATGTGTCCTTATCAATTTTATTACCTTCAATGTTACCATGCCTGAGCAGCATCTGTTTCAAAGCTAAAGACAGATGCAAAGTATTAATTTAACACTTCTGCTCTTTTTACCACCTATTATTATTTATGCGCTTATAGAAGTTTATACAGGTTTATACTAGGGGCCAGTGTTTTTTTCATAACCCCTCTACTTCTCATCCTCACATCCTCTCTGAACCTTCTGTTTTTAACTCTGTTCTCAATTGTACCCAACACCCATCATATTTTTACTTCCACTTATCTCTCTCTCTCCACATGTGATTACTAGTCAGGCACTATTGCTACTAAGGCACTCCCATCCCATTTACTCCATTCAGGGCAGCCAGATTCCTTGTTCAATCCAACAATTCAGCAAAATGACAATGCAAAAGCTATCAATACTAGTGCTTGCAATCAGTGTAAACTCTTTCATACTGTTACATACCGTGCAACTTTCTCGAAGGCTTTCAAACTTGTTGTGAATTTCATCACGGTGTGCCTGACGAAACAAAATACATGCATCACAAGATTCTGCCAAGCAGATTTACTGTAATAAAAAGAGTGTACTCTCGATTGAGTTGATGTTAAAAGAAGACATTATACACCTTAAAAGCATATGTCAGCTACGTGTCATTACCTACATATACGTCAAACATCCTGGATGAAAGCAGACATTCTGTGTAGATGTTCTCTTATATGATAAACAAGCTGCACTACAGTGATTATATAACTAAATAGTAGAAGCTTGTGAGTAGCATTCACTCTATCAGAATGCATAAAGCAGAGTTAATAAAAGATGACTGTTACATGAGACAGTGCATGGGTGTCAATTTAGATTTGGGCAAAGCAGCAATTCAGTGACTGTCTGCCTGAAATGTCAGAGATGGTTTCAGACACAGACTGGAAAAGGTATCTCTTGTTAAAATTCACTTCATAATCATGCCATGCCCATAGAATTCTTTAAAGAACTTGCTTAGAAGCTGATCGTTTCCTTGGTTACTTCACGACAACAGAAAATTACACTCTTCCTCCGACTACACAGCTTTCCAGAATCTCAAACTGCTTCATCAGGGAGTCTCCCAAAAATAAGTGGGTGGTATCAACCTGCACTTTGATCATCATGATGGTGAGACTGACCCTCAGAGATTGGATCTCCTCCTCTGCCTCAGCAGTCGTCTCTTCCAGCTCTGCCTTGGCCATTTGCAATTGGTTCTCCAGGGCAGTTTTTGTGCTTTGCAGACTCCTAATCTGAGCCTCCTTCTCCTGCAAGGCTAATTGCAATTCATTCCCCTGTTTTTTCAGTTCCAATTTCTGCTGCTCATGTTCCAAGCTGGCCTGTGGAATGGTATAAAAATGCAACTTTAATATAGCTATCATCAACGTTTGCTGCAATGTGTACTGATTTTACCGCAGATTTACACTGAATTAGTGCATTTTTATCATTACCAGACTGAATCTTGTATCCTAACTTTGGCTCTTATTTAAGCATTGCAACAATTTAAAAATTCTTATCCTAGTTTTCAAATTCCGGTATGGTCTAACCCCTCCCTCTCTAAACTCCTCCAATTCCACAACTCATACCTATGCTCCTCTAATCCAGGCCCCTTAAGTATTCCCAATTTTAACTGCTCTACTATTGATGTATATGTCTCAAGTTGCTAAGGCCCCAAAGTCTGAAAATCCCTCTCTAAAATTCTCTGCCTTTGTATCTGTTTCTCCTTTAACACACTCCTTCAAATTATCTCTTCGAGCACACTTTTTTTTAAAAACTGTGCCCAAATATCTCATGGGACTTGGATTCAAATTTTACTTTACAGAATGCTGAAGAGGAATCATATCAGACTTGAAACGTCATCTTCGTTTCGTTCTCCACAGAAGCTGCTAGACCTGCTAAGTTTCTTCAGAACTTGGTTTTATTTCAGATTTCTAGCATCTGCAGTTTTTTTGGTGAAGCATTTTAAAGTTTTCTAATTAGATTAAACGTCCTATATAAATACACGTTGTTGTAGCAAATTTACAGCTTTACAGAATTTTTCCCATTCTTTGAGGGCTTTACTGGTTAGTGGTGAACTGCCTTCTTGAACCACTGCAGTCCATCTGATGTAGGCACATGTACAGAGCTCTTAGGAAGGGAGTTTCAGATTTTGATCCAGCAGTAGTGAAAGAGAAGCAATAAGTTCCAAGTCAAGGTGGTGTCTTTCTTGGAGGAGAACTTGCAGGTGATTTTCCCATATTTCTGCTGCCCTTGAGGCCTCTACCATTTAGAAGGACAAGTTTGGAAGATGGCATCAAAGGAGGCTTGGTGCATTAATACAATGCATTTTGCATCCTAAATTTTGGTCTCATTTTCTGCCAATGTGGGTTGATGACAGAGGGAGTGAATATTAAAGTTGGTGCATTGGGTGCTAATCAAGTGGCCTTTGTTCTGAACAGTGTCAAGCTTCCTAAAGCTGTACCCATCCAGAAATATTGAGAGGATTCTGTCTCAGTCCTTCGTCCTAAGGTTGGTGGACAGACCTCAGGGAGATAAGAGGTCATAGAGTAATGCAGCATGGAAGCAGGCCCTTCGGCCCAAACTGGTCCATGCTGACCATGGTGCCTACTCAGCTAGTTCCAATTGCCTGCATTTGGTACATATCTCTCTAAACCCTTCCCATCCATGTACCTATCCAAATGTTTAAACGTTGCTATTATACCTACCTCAACCACTTTCTCTGGCAGCCCATTCCATATACGCATCACTCTCTGCGTGAAGAAGTTGCCCCTCAGGGTCCTTCGTAAATCTTTCCCCTCTTACCTTAAACCTATGTCCTCTAGTTTTCAACTCCCCATCCCTGTGAAAAAGACTATTTGCATTCATCCTGTCTATGCCTCTCATGATTTTATACACCTCAATGAGGTCACCCCTCAATCTCCTACATTCCAAGAAATAAAGTCCTTTCCTGGCAAACATCTCCCTATAACTGAGGGCCTACTAACCCTGGCAACATCCTCGTAAATCTTCTTTGCACACTTTCCAGTTTAACAATGTCTTTCCTATAACAGGGTGACCAAAAGTGTACACAATACTCCAAGTGTGGCCTCACCAACGACTTATACAACTGTAACATAACATCCCAACTCCTATACTCGATGCCTCGACTGATGAAGGCCAGCATGCTTAATGCCTTCTTCACCACCCTGTCCACCTGTGATGTCGCTTTCAATGAACTATGTACTTGTACACCTAGGTCCCTCTGCTCCACTTTACTCCTTAATTAAGTTACATAATATAGTAATCTCAGCCTCTGAGTTGTGGCTGGTCCAATTCAGTTTATGCTCAATGGTAACTGCCAGGAGGAGGATAGTGGGAGATTCAGTAATGGTAATTTGATTGAATATCAGGAGGACATGGTTAGATTCTTTTTTGGAGATGGGCAATGCCTGGTACTAATACAGGGAAGGCCACAGCCTAACGGTATTATAGCTGAACTGTTAATCCAGAGACCCAGGATAATGTTCTGAAGACCTGGGTTCAAATCCTACCATGGCAGATGGTGGAATTTGAATGCAATAATAAAAATCTGGAATCAAGAGTCTAACAATGGTAATAAATTCATTGTCAATTGTTGGGAAAAACCCATTTGGTTCACTAATTTCTGTTATGGAATGAAACTGCCATCCTTACCTGGTATGGACTACATGTAGCTCCAGACCAATATGTTTGACTCTTTACTGCCCTTTGGGATGGGCAATAAATGCTGGCCTAGCCAGAGATGCCCTCATTGCGTGAATGAATAACAAAAACAAAGTGTAGTGAAAACATTATATCACTTATCAGCTAATACTCGAATTCCACATAATTAAAACTGATTGGACGCAAAGACAAGTTATTATTTCCTGGTTACCATTTGTGTGTTCTCACCTCCCTGAGCTTGGTTTCAAGCTCTAACAATTTGTTCTTGCTGCTTTGTTCATCCTGGTTGATTTTATCCATTTGTTCCTCCAGTTTCTGGTTGTGAGCATCCAGCTTCCCTGCCTGAGCCTCCAAATAAAACTTCTGCTGCCTGAGCTCTGCAATCATCTCCTCCTGTGCCTTCCTGCCATGAAATTTAAACAGACGCAATTACAAATAGGCTCAAATGTTGCTTAAAGTAGCTACCCAGACAAACGGATCATGATAAACAGAGCATCCAACAGGTGGCTTGCTTATGTATTTGTAGTAAAAGAACCATTCATTCTGTTCATTTATTTGCCATAACTCAATTACTGTTTCTTACATTCTAAAGTATTAATGCAGCTAAAAGAAAAGACTTATATTTATTACATATCTTCCACGATCACTGGACCTTACAGCAAACAAAGCACTTGTGAAGTTTAGTAAATAGTTTTAGAAAGATTGCAGCCAATTTGTTCAAGCAGCTCTCATAAACAGCAACATGATAATGACTAAATAACCTTTTGAGATGTTGATTGAGGTAAAACTATTGGCTATGAAGTGTAAAAAAACTCCCCTGGTCCTCTTTGAAATAGTACCACAGGATCTTTTACTTCCATTTCAGTGATTAGATGATGGACAAAATTTTAGCAGGCGATTTGGGAGGTGGTGGGGTTAGGGTCTTGCCCACCGGTTGGAGATCAGGCAGGGAGGCCTCATCATTTTCGTGGGAGAGGCTGTGGTGAAATCCGATGTCCTTCAGGCATTTACAAGGTCACCATCAGGCCTTCCAAAGTTGAGGTTCCCAGTGGTGGAAGTCCTGGCTGTAACAGTTGCCAAACAATCAGGGGTTGGCAGCTCCTCATGCCAAAAGACAAGCAAGAGAGATGACTACTTATAGAACTGCACCCATCCAAGGTTCAGGATTTTAGAGGGACTCCAGGTCAAAAGTAAGTTAAGGGATGGCAGGGTGAGGTCGGAAGCAAGAGCTGTAGGGTGCCTATCAGCAGCCATACCCTACCTCATGCCTGGTCTCTTTATTGGGCAGAGTAACTGATAGTGGGGGAAAACCTCTCACTCCCATGGATGTTTTTGGTCATCCTTCTATGGTTGCAAGAAACCCATGTGGCCCACATTTAAATTATTTTTAAACAGCCAGTTTGGACATGTTATCACACAATCCCCACGCAGGAACAACTAGAACCCAGACTTTCGAGCTCGTGTGAATTGTTCGTTTAAATGCACTTAATTGACATCTTGCCACTGGGGAATCCTACCTTAGCTCCTTCCGCCCTTCCCCATCAAGTAATATATTAGTTATACATGGTCATGCAGAATAAACCTCCCTTCATCTGAATGTTTTACCTCAGTTACCATTTCACAAAAAAGCACAACTAAGGCACCAATGTGACATTCTTGATCATTGTCCAAGGAGGGATATCTTACGGCAGTTGTACAGGGCCTTGGTAAGACCACATCTGGAGTGTAGCATGCAGATTTGGTCTCCCTGCCTAGAAAACTATATACTTGCCATAGAGGCAGTGCAGCAGAGGTTCACCAGGCAGCTACTGGGAATAGGAGGACTGTCCATTGTGGACAGATTGGGCCTGCTTTTACTAGAGTTCAAAAGAATGAGAGGAGAATCTGATCAAAACATTAAAATTCTAACAGGGCTGGAGAGAGGAAGGAAGTTTTCCCTGTTTGGGAAGTCTAGAACGGGGAGAGAATGGTCTCCGATACGGAGTAGACCATTTAGGACTGAGATGAGAAAGCATTTCTTCACTCAAAGTGTACGGAACCTGTAGAATTTTCTACCCCTGAAGGCTGTGGAGGCCAAATCACTGAATATGTTAAAAAAAAAATTTTGGATTTTAAAGGCATCAAGTAGTATGGGTAGAAAGCAGGAATATGATACTGAATTAGAGCATTTGCCATGATCACATTGAATGGCAAGAAGGCTTGAATGGTCAAATGGCCTACTCCTGCCCTTAGTTTCTGTGATTCTATTCCTGCCCCCACCATATTGTAAACTTGGAATGAATGTCAACATTAATGTGGAATTAAATGCTGGTGCATCACAAGTTTAAGGCGATTGACAAGTTTTTGATGCAACTTCATGGAATTCATCTGTTTGTGAAAGTATATTTTGTGATTTTGTCAACTTTTAACTAGGCTGTCATTTACTAAGGTAATCAATTTATCATTACAATAACATCTATGATTTTTAATGGTTTTGTGGTAATCACATTCAATAATCCTGTAATTTTTTACACTTTGATCCACAAATCAATTCTATGTCTATCACTGCTAAAAACTGGGATATATCAACTGATACCATAACAGACCCTATTGAGAAGATGCTCTTCTCTGTAATTTAGACCGGTTTTACATACAGCAGGAGGAAGATCAATATGTGCCGGCCTGCTCACCCAACAAATATACTCCAGTTGATTTCTTTATCTTTCTCTTTCCACTTGTTTAGGTCTGCCTAAATATAATCCTGTTGCATCCTTCATCCAACCTTCCACTCCAGGTCTGACCATGCACATAAATTAGAAGCTATCCTCTATATTACAATTTTAGGAGAAAGCAACAGTAACAAACAAACTGAGAGAAGTTAAATAAAGTAATTGTGTCTGACAATTAAACAACAGGTTGTCAATTTAATTAACCCTATAACCATGTATTTACTTTATAAACTTTGACAATTCAAGACTCACATGCTTCTCTGGGTAAAGATGCTGCTGTTTGCTGCAAGTTTATTTGCCTCTGAGAGTTCTGCTACCCTCTGTTCCAAAGACTTTATCTTCGAATCCATGGCATTGATTGTCTGAAATATGAAGTGCACTAGAATCAGATTATAAAAGATCAGACAACAAAGATCAAGAAGCAAGGGAAGGACAAAAGCCAAAATGTAAGAAAGCTTTCTAATCTGAGAATTGCAGTCCATCTTTAGAATTGGTCACATTCTGAAATGAAATTATTAATAAAAAGCTAACTTCCATAGCAACTTTAGTTCATATTTAGATTTTTGCTTTAATGTTAATTTCTCACATACCGCTTTCTGATCATCTATCAGTTTGCACTTTTTACGTGAGTCCTCCTCATGCCTGAGGCGAGAATCTTCTAAGGACTCCTTATTGGCAATGCCCATCTTCAACTGAGCTTCCATGACCTATAAGAGAGTACAACACAAATAAAAAGGTGATGGGATGCCCTCCACAAGTAATGGCAAACAGCATTGTTCAGATGTCATGGAGAGAAAAGTTTAGATTCATTTTGTATCAGTCAGAAAATGTTCTTGTCCTAACCCGCTCTGCAACATCTGTTATTTTCTTTGTTCAAATTAAAGAAACAAACAAGTCCATCAGCGACTATTTTCAACTAAGATACTTGCTCCACATTCAAGATTAATGGACGTATTGAGTGAAAGGAAAAAGGCTGAAGTTGGCTGGCAGAAATTGCAGAAATATTGCTGCTCTCAAGGCATGGCTCATGATTGATCTGATGACCAGTTCAATCTGTACTCCCAGAAACCGGCACAAGATACTTGCTACTCTTGTTACAGAATCAAATTTTCAAAATAAATTTTCTGTTCTTTACCTTCATTTTATCTTCATAGAGCTGTTCTTTCTGTCGAAGATTGGTTTCCATGCGTTGAGTTGTTGCCTGAGCCTCACACCAGCTCTCCTCTAACTCCTGTGTTAGGATAGAGCAGGGTCATTGTGAGTACCATAATAAAGAGATAGGTTACTTGTTTAGATGCTGGTATCCACAGGTAGGAGGTATTCATATCACAACAGAATCATAGCCATAGAGGTCTACAGGTTGTTGACTTGCTTGCCGAGCTGTCTTGTTCTCGTTCAGACATTTCATCACCTAGCATGGTGAAGAAACATCTAAGCGAGAACAAGCCAGCTCGGTGAGCAAGTCAACAACCTCATCCACAACCCAAGCTACAGATCTTTGCCAATATAGAGGCCTACAGTGCAGAGGACTGCGCCAGTCAAAAACAACCATCCAATTATGATAAACCCATTTGCCAGCATTTGGTCCATAGCCTTGTGTGCTTTGGCATCACAAGTGAATATCTAAATAGTTAAATGTTGAGGGTTTCTGCCTGTACCACCAGTGAAAGCACAGAGTTTCAGATTGTCACGACTAAGTGAAAAAAAACTTCCTCACATCCCCTCTAAATCACAGAGCCCTTTCCTTTATACCTATGCCCCGAGGTCATTGATCAGTCAATGGAGGAAAAGTTCCTCCCTGTCGACTCTGTCTATGACCCTCAATTTATATATCTCAATCATGTTTCCTTTTAGTCCCCTCTGCTCCAAGGAAACCAACCCCAATCAGTCCAAATATCTCTTCATAACTAAAACTCTCCAGTCCCAAGCAATGTCCTGGTAAATTTCCTCTGCACCCTCTTTAGTGAAATCGCATCCCTTCCGTAATGTGAATCCCAGAACTACACATTGTACTCTAGCTGTGGCATAAACAATGTTTCATATAGTTCCAGCAACCCCCTCCTGCTCTTAAATTCTATGCCTCGGCTAATAAAAGGCAAGTATTCCAAATGCCTTCTTTACTACTTTATTTCCCTATCCCACTACCTTAAGGGATCATGGTCAGGCATTTCAATGTCCCCCTGATACTTGGTGCTTCCCAGGGTCCTACTGTTCATCATGTATTCCCTTGCTTTGTTTGTACTGCCCAAGTGCAACACCTCATGTTTATTGGATTGAATTTGATTTGCCACTCATCAGCTCAACTAATCACCCATTTTATATCCCTCTATAATCTAAGGCGATCCTCCTCACTATTTACCACTCCACCAATTTTTTGTATCATCCAGGAACTTACTGATCAACCCTCCGACATTCATGTCTAAATCGTTTATAAAAACTACAAACAGCAAGGGCTCCAACACTGCAGAACCCCTCTGGACACAGGCTTCCAATCACAAAAACACCCCTCGACCATCACCTTCTGCTTCTTGCCACTTAGCTAATTCTGGATCCAATTTGTGAAATTTCCATAGGTCCATGGACTCTTATCTTCGCTAACAGTATCTCACTCGAGGCCTTATCAAAAGCCTTGCCTAAGTCCAAGTAGACTGCATCGAATGTATTCCCTTGTTTGCACACCTGGTCACCTCTGAAAAATTCAACCAAGTTGGTCAGATATGGCCTCCCCTTAACAAAACGATGCTCACTGTTCTTGATTAATCCCTGCCTCTCCAAGTGTAGATTAATTCTGTCCCTCAGAATTGCTTCCAATAGTTCCTCCAGCATTGAGGTTAGACTAACTGGCCTGTAGCTTACTGGTTTATCCCTTCCTCCTTTCTTGAATAACGGAACCACACTAAAGATCCTCCATCCTCTGATACCTCTTCTGTGGCCAGAGAGGAATTGAAAATTTTTGCTACTGTCCTGGCTTACCTCACTCAACAACCTGAAATACATTTCATCTGGCCCTGAATATTTATCTACTTTTAAGCCTACGAGACCATTCAGAAGCTCCTTTGTCTATGCTAACTTCTTTAAGTATATAAAAGTCCTTCTCCCTGATTTCTGTATCCACGTCATCCCTCTCAATATTGAGCAATGACACAAAGTATTCATTTAGAACCCTATCCATGTCCTTTGCTTCTATACATAAATAATCAATGAGGTCCTTAATGGGCTCTATTCTTTCCCTAGTCATCCTTTTATCCTTAATTTACTTGAAATGTGTATGAAACAAAAACTTGGTTAGTATCTAATTTTTGTGAAGACAAGGTTGAGACATCAAATCTTTTCATAGCATAACTGTCTTGCACCTAATGTAATGCCAAAGGTGAATGATCAACTCACTAAAGACTTCAAATTTCCTGGTAACTCATTCATTAAAATATGATATTACATCCTCATGCAGCACACCACCGTGTAAATCACCTTTATTTAGTCAAAACTGTTGGCAACACACTGGACAGTGAAACATACCTTGTGAAAAACCACAGCAAGATTACTTGAAATCTTGATGCTAACCTCAAATACTGCCCTGAGATCTATAGTCCCTTTTATGTTTGTTGATTCAGTAACCTATCTTATTCCCTTTTTCAATGTTCTAAATGACTGCAGTGCTTGATAGACTATTCCATAAATTGACACAAGAAATCAAGTTTCACAGCATGTTTAGGACATTAAATTATGTTTCTTTATAAAAACACACGGTCTTCTTCTTCTACCATCAATCCCCAGTCCAAATTCACCTTTCCTATTTTTGCAAAGTCAAGGCTCCCACATCCAGAAAACTTATCTTCACTGATCTTACCGCTCCAGTCTCTTAATTTTCCAATGAGAATCTATTCCTGCATAACAATGTCACAGAAGACGACTTTACAGCAATCATTGTGACGCCTAATAGAGTGCATTAAGCTGTATAAGATTGCAAAATCAAAAAACTGACAAATTTAATGCTTTACACCGAGCATACAGCCACTACAGCAGGGCAGTGTCAGGCATCATTCCAGCACAGTTTAAGGAAAACCAGTACCAGTTTGGAGAAACTGATTGTTTTCCTTGGAATTTGCTGTGGGAAGCTACAGGTGGAATGAAAATGGTAATGAATCAATACCAGACCCCCTACACATGATTTGACAGTGGTCAACTTGAACAACAGCATGTTAATATCTTCAAAATGGTTACTTGCCCAGGTAGCTAAGTGAAGGTGGTGGCCCTGTAAAATGTACTGAACCATGAAGCGGATAAAGGCCGGGGGTGATTAGGAAGATTTATAACAATTTATTTTCGTTAGCTTCCTAACAGGTAGGTTTCCTCTTACACTGCTAATGTGATTCTGTAATTTTCACTTCCTGGGCATCATTATCAACATCTTACACATACCAGGATTTTCTGAGCCATTTGCTGGATTTGCTGAGATTTTGTCTGCAAATCTTCCTTTAGCTTGTTTTCTCTCCGCTCTACCATTTCAAGTCGCTTCACTTGGTTCTCCAGAGACTTGCGGCGTTCCTACAATTATGAACACAATCAAAATTACTGTTGAATCTACAATGTCAGTTGCACAGGTTGTTAACACATGACCACGCAAATGATTGTAAAAATAAACCATTTGTCAGTCTCAGCTATATTTAAAAAAAAAATCAACTCTGCCTTAAATGCATACAAGGCAACGTACAGGACACTGTAATTTTCAAGTAATATTTTACACCAAATTATTAAGAGAATGCCCATATATCACAATGCATGTTAAGTGGCTTGATGGTAATGTTAACAAAACTTCTATAAATAAAAAAGATAATTGCTTATTAAATGAACAGTCATGTCTGTCCTACAGCATGTGAACCATGACTGGGTCTCCACAGAGCAGCATACCTTTCAAGATTGACCAAAACTTTCTTGCATGTTTAACAACACATTTGACATATTAATCAGACGGCTACCTGTCTGAAACATAATGGCTTCATACTGGTAAAAAAACAGAAACTTGAATTCATGTAGCGCCTTTGCAAAACCTCAGGATATTTCAGCACACTTCACAGCTAATTAAGCACTTTTGAAATGCAGTCATCATTGTCAGAAAAGAGTGGTGTTTATTTTCCAGTGCTGTTCATCATGCAACTGTCTCTAGTACAGAATTTAAGGAGGGAATTCTGGAGCATAGTCTCTAGACAGCAGAAGGCACAAGTGCCTGGTGATGTGAAGGATCAGGGAAATGCACAAGGGGCCATTGTCTGAACCATGAAGAGCTATGTGGTGGTGATATTGCTGAAGGAACTTACAGAGATAGGAAGGAAAAAGACCTAAAGAAGGGTTGAAAAAGAAAGAAAGATTCAGATTCCTCAAAATTCACTTGGAAGCTGACATGCGTCCATGGGAAAGAACGCAAGCAACAAGGTGGAGTTCAAGAGCTAACAGTGTGGAGCTGGAGGCACACAGCAGGCCAGGCAGCATCAGAGGAGCAGGAAAGTTGACATTTTGGGTAGGGACCCTTCTTCAGAAAAAGGGGTCCTGACCCGAAATGTCAACTTTCCTGCTCCTTTGATGCTGCCTGGCGTGCTGTGTTCCTCTAGCCCCACACTGTGTTATCTCGGACTGCAGCATCTGCAGTTCTTACTATCTCGGAGTTCAAGACCTTTTGCCAAGGGCAGGAATAGCTCTCCCACCACCCCATACCTGATCAAGTTAAAGGCACAGAGGAAGGGAGAAAAAAAAACATTAATTGAAACACTTTGGTTGCAAACGATTAGGCAAAAAAGAATCCAAAAGGCAGAGCTGGACAAATGAGGAGAGGAAATAGTGATTTGGTTGTTGTGTCAAAGAGGTCTGGCTTGGCCAGCATTTTGCTTTCAGATGAGCACTTGTTACTTGTCAACTGAACCACCTTATCCTAAAGATACCTTGTACTAGTTTTTGCCTTAGAGCTTCTACTGAAAGTCTATTTAGGCTCAATTACATTGACAAACTGTGTTCAGCATTTAATTCTATACTGTACCTCAGACTCCACCAGTTTCTTCCTGATACTTTCACTGGAGTTCTCACGACCCTGTAGTTTCTCAAGATCTCTCTCTGCACGTTCTTTAGCTTGACGCACATTCTGTAAAAGATCTGTAGCTTCAGAGCTTGCTTTCACTGCCTGAAAGAGTCAAAGAGCAAAAATGATGCAAGAAAGAGTCCATTCAGGATTCATTTTTAGTATTTAAACAAGGTGCTTTTCTGACAAAAATTGATTTTAGTTTCCTGTGGGTCACCACATCTGATTCCTTGTCTCTAACCCAGACGGTTAGGACATAAACTTTTACAGGAACTTCAACTAAATTAAATAGACTTAGCTAAATTTTCATATTTGAATTTTATTTTTGGTATCCATGTGTATTGATTACTTATGTATACTAGCAATTAAAATCTCAGGTCTGATTGATATCCTCCAGAGGTAACTGTTAATGTCATTTAGTGATTGATCACATCAGATTACTAATAAATAATCACTGGGTAGTACAGAACTTAAACAATACTCAAATGAGACAAATCAAAGCTTTTCGTCTTGTACTCGTCAGGACTAGGATGTAAGAAACAGACTTGAAGAAGTGGATACCAACTTAAGCAGCATAAGGATAGTAAGTTGATTTGTTGGACTATCGTTGTTACAGAGATGCAGCAGCAACAGTTAATTGTCAGTCTTAGCTCTTAGATCAGGCAGATAGACAGATTCTTCAGCGTATTGGCATGGAAATTCAGCAAAGACTGGCATTCTCCATGACCCCTTTGTTCAACTCATAAATGAAAGTATGCAATATATACAGGAAGTCCTTTACTTACATGTGTGTTCAGATATGTAATTTCTAGCACATGTAAATGCATCGTACCATGCACCTGATTTGATAACCTTAAATTGACATCTGGTGTCATTCTTAGCACAGTATGGATTATTTAATAAATGCTGTCCAATAGCAATATCTGATCAAATGATAGACATAATATTCTAAGGATTACAAGCATAGGCTACTGGAGCACATCAGCATGCTACAAATCATCATTGGGATGTGTTGTTTGATACACAGTCAACCAGTCACTGACATGCATGGCCTACCTGACAACACACCAGCAAGCAAACTTATATCACATTATTCATTTGTGTGATAGATAATTACTTGTGGCTTGATGGCAGCAATGACTGGCAATTCATATCAAGCAATACATCCCAAAGTCTTTCTACTTCCCAATTCAAACCAGGAACCAACAGGATACAATGGTTGCACTGCAGATTCCAGAGTCAGACACGTCATAAATACATTTACAAGAGACTAAACCCCTGCTAGACATTCATTTTATTTTTCCATGTGACTTGGTAAAAAGTATTTAGTGCAGTAAGCTGCCAAATTACAAGGATGATTTGCTTTAACAGGCTCAAACCACAAGACATCACATTTTCAGTGCTTTTGTACTGTATGATGCAAGGAGATAAGATGTCCCACTATTCAACTTAAGCCCACGTTTCTTAACAACAAGTTCCTAATACAGCAACATGCTTTTTCCTAGTGAATCTAGTGTTGGGATCTCAATGATCTCTTCCATCTGCTGGCCACCCTCTGCATAAAGACTTCAAATAGCTGTTAAATTTGTCTTTCACAACTTTCAGCAAGTCCCATTTGTGTATTGTCACATAGCTTTATTTCAACATAGAAAGCAGAAAAAAAAACTAACAACCAGGCCTTTTTATATAACCCTTTCACCATGAAAATCCATCCTCCACAGAAGCCCAGGCATTTGAACTGTAGAATATTCATCCGTACAAAGAAAATTGCATCTCCATATATTTTGGAACTGTTTACATCTTTTCAATGAAAATGACTACCATTAAACTCAACTACACTCCCATCCTCTTGGTAATAGTAACCATTAAATTGTACTACCTTAGCGAGTTTTTCCTGTAATTCCTGTATTTTCTTCTGCTGTTCTGCATTCATCTGAAAGACACATAATAGGCCTTGAATTCAATGGACAAAAATTTACAAAACATATTTTTGTTTTCACAGTATTTTCATACATCTTCAACCTTAAATTTACACACATTACTGTCCGTTATTTAATGGGTAGGCGTCAATAAAAGATCAATGTTTTGCAATTTAAGAATTATGGAACATGTGATAGTTGAGTTGAGTTGAGGCAAATTCTTAAATCAAAACCATCAAATGGGTCCCCTTGTAGTTTATCAACTGCACAATAACAATGGTAATGCTTACATAATTGAATTGCAGTTTATAGGACATTCAACTTTGTCTGTAGTTTTCTCAAAGTATTTGTTAGCTTTGTGGTCAACAAAGTGTTTTCCAGCCCAAGCACTGAATGCACTTTAAATTGCACACTACCCATTTTCAGATAACACGTCCCAGCTCTCAACAACATGCCAAAAATAGCACACTAAGTTTTAAGATATTAGATATGTTTTAAGTAACAGTATGGTTATATTTTGGAGTAACCTCAACATAACACTAATCAGACTGCTTTCTGTAATACTATAGTAGAACCATCTCCAATTTTTTGATTTTATTTATCAAATACATTACTTTGCTCTTACCTCCAGTTCTGCACCGTTCAGCTCTACCTCTTACATACACCTTATATTTATTTACAATCATAAATGCATGTATATCTTGCTTATATATTGTTCCCTACTACCTGCCTCAATCCCTACAGAGGCGCAATTCTAGAACAGATTCATTTAAAGGTTGCCTTGATTTCAATCCAAATCTAAGCAAGCAATACATTCCTGTTGGGAAAGTCTCCAGTTTTTAAAAAAAGTGAAGCTTTTTTAATATGTTAAAAGTGAATTATTTAAATAACTGTCATTTATTTATATTGTGGAGGTAAAGCCAAGTAATCCATCTAAATGACAAATGAGTTAGTGAAGAAAGGTTAATAACACGCAAAATACAAACCTTTTCCAATTTGGCATACACCTCTCCAACTTCAGCTTTTCCTTGGTCTCTGGTCTGTGAATGGAATACAGTCTTGATGTCAGTGACTTGAATCGAAATGGTGTATGGACTCTATCCCCTTACAAATGACCATACTGCACAGAATCCATTCTTAAAATTGAGCAGAATTGCTCCATAAAGATAAATAATATAAAAATACACAAAAGACAATACACATTGCTAGGCTTACAAAACAAATCAAGTAGCCAAAAATAGAAACAAAGTTCAATAGGTGACATGGTACAGTCTCTGACTAACCTCAAAAGATGTTTATTACAGAATATGTAAAGACCTTCAGCATATGGAGCGCATGAGTCTATTTTCACCAAAGTCTACCATCTGTCATGATGAATGCTTCAAGAACTATAAGGAAGTTAAGATACCCAACCTAGTGAGAATAAGAAGCAGCTAAGTAGTGTCTAGATTTCAGCTAGGAACTTAGTTAATCTTAACTCAAGCATGACTATCAGTGTGTAAAATGTACATCCTGTCACTGTGACGGTCCCTTCTGTTTACGATATGTCAATAACCTCTCAGCATCTCAGGTTCCTCGGTATGTAACATTCTAATTCATCAGCTTGGCAGACAGTCCACCTCACACTCACTCATTGTTAGGGCAGATACACAGACCAACCTTCTGTAGTTTCTGCTGGGATTCAGCTGCTTTCCGCCTATACTCATCTGCTGTAATTCGAGTATCCCGGAGTTCAGACTCATAGAGGTCAGCCCGTCGACGGGCAGCAGCAAGATCCTCTTCCAGCTGTCGTACAGTTACCTCCATTTCCTCCATTTGAGCATGGAACTCCTGTTAAAATTAGGAGAAAGGAAGCACAAAGGCTAGTGGAGTGCAGAAAGGAGAACAGCATCCTCAAATCACTCAGAAATGTTGATAACTAGTTAAAAAGTACAGATTTAAATTTTAAAAAAAAGACCCTCACCCCTTTGTAAAAGATGAAAACAGAAGTTCAACACAAAAGCAAATTACTATAAATGCTAAGAATCTGTAATAAAACAGATAATGATGAAAATAAATCAGCAGATTTGGGAGCAGGTATAAAGGTTAAAACAGAATTAATTTCAGGCATTTGAACTTTCATGAGAAGCTCAAAATAGATTTTAAAGTGGTCACGTTTGTAGACTAACTAATTTTAAGAGTAACCAACTCTTGTACTAACACAAAACAAACATCCTTACGAGGAATTTGAATAGCCCATCAAGCTACAGTTAACACTTTTATGCAAATAATGATGGCATCCCAAACACCAAGCAAACCAGACAGAATAACCATTCTTTCCTAGTAATCATACTTGTGAAGGTGTATAATTTTCATCTTGGAAGCTAACTTCTATGTGCAAATAACAAATGTCTGTATTGGTTGTTTTGTGGTCCCTAGTTTCCCCCTGCTGAACGTGAATCTAATCAAAAAGAGCACTTCTCATATTTTCATATCAGAGCAGACAGCTTACTCAGATGAAACACACGTATTTTAAGAAATCTAACATTACATTCATTCTATGGGCTCATGGAGTCACTTAGTGCACTGCATTTAGTAACAGAGTGACAAGTATTATTTCGTGTTCTCTCCACTTCCTTAATTTCACTATTATTGTAATTAGTAAATTTTGATTATGTGCATTATGTACCATCTGCAATCAGAAGCATGTAGAGACAGAAGAAGTGTGGAATTTGATGGGGAGAAGTGAAAGTTGCAATAGAGTCCTGTCAGATTGTTTGTTGAAAGAAGTTCCAGGTTTAACTGTAATAGCGCTATGACAGGTTTTCAGACAGATGATAGACAGTATCAGTTAGAGAAGCTTAAACATTTGGAATATGATTGTAAATTGTGTAAAAATAATAACAGTTAAGTGAGAGGAGAGATAGGAGACAAAGCCTAGTCCAAGAATAGAAATGTAAGAAAGCAAGTTGAGAGACATCTAATTAAAGTACCACTGGCAGATAGAGCCATTATTGGGAATGGGCCTGGGAGAGAGATGGAAAGTTGCAGCAGGAATACACCTATGGGAGAACAAGACAATTCAGCACTTCAAAAGTGAGGTTAAAATCAGATCAGCCATGATCTTACTGAATGGCAGAGGAGGCCCAAAGGCTCAAATTGATCCACTCTTGCCATATGACATTGGTTTAGGGTTATTAAAGGAGACAGGAGAACACTTTTGTATACACTGATTAGCAGGGTGGAAGAAGCAGATTCAGTTATGGTGTTTGAAGGGGAATTGAATAAACATTTGAAGACTTTTTAAAAATTGCCGGATTATTGAAAAACAGCAGGGGGTGAGACAAGCTGAATTTTGGCTGTAGGCAACCAATTCTCTGTGTGCTTCTCAACCACAATCTATAATCTTCTGGCATGGCATATCCCTCACTCTACCATTACGATCAAGCTAGAGGAACAACCCTGGTTCCATGAGGACTATAGGAGAGCATGCCAGAAGCTACATCAGGAATACCCAAAAATGAGGTGCCAACCTGGTGAAGTTACAACACCAGGCTACATGCATGCTAGACAACAGAAGCATGCTACAGACAGATTTGAAATAATCCCACAACCAACAGATAGATAAAGATTGGCAGCCTGCCATATCTAGCCACAAATAATGACAGACAATTATACTATGCCCAGAAGTCAGCTCAAAAGCAGCTCCCTACTCAATGACGGGTGCGACCACCGCATTAATGCTAAAGACAAGGTTCAAGTTTTTGGCACTATCTCCAGCCAGCAGTGAATAATCAATCTTGACTTCCTCCCGAGGTCCTGACTATCACATATCCTAGCGTTCAGACAATTTGATTCATGCCACAAACTACCAAGAAATGGTTTCAAAGAAATAGACATAGCAGAGACTTTGCATTCTGACCCCAGCCCAAACGTGTACGAAAGATTTGTGCTCAAGAACCAACTACAGTCTTAGTCAAGTTGTTCCAGTGCAGCAGCAACATTGCAACCTAGTCAAGAATGTGGAAACGTGCCTGGGTATATCCTGTCTACCCAAACATCATTAAAATAGTAAAACTTGTTATTGACAGTGCCATCAAGCCACACATACTTAGCAACAAGCTGGTCAACTAAAGCTCAATTTGACTTCCATCCAAGCCATGTAGCTCCAGACCCCAATACAGCCTTCATTCAAACATGGACAAGAAGGCTGAATTTCAGAAGGGAGGGGAAAATAATTACCCTTGATATCAAGGCAGCAATTAACTGAATGTTACATCAGGGAATCCTAATAAAAGCAGAAGACAATGGGAATTGATGCAATACTCTCCATTATATGGAACTATCACACAAAGAGCAATGGTTGTGTTTACGGAAGTCAACCAACTCAGCCCTAGAACAATGCCAAAGGAATTCCAAAGGTGCGCACCTCTGATTCATTCCAAGTTATTTTAATCAATCTGTTTGGATATGTTATGAAACACATTCAGGGCATATGGAACTTGAACCTCGGCCTCTAGGCTCAGAGGGAGGAATGCTGCCACAGTGTGTCACAATTGATATTTTCTAATCAATCTGTTCAGAGATGTTATCATACATCTCTGCAGCTGGTGGGACTTGAACCCGGTCCTCCTGGTCCAGAGATAGGGACATTACCACTGCACCACAAGATCCCCAAGATGAACATTATTCATCGTACATATTTTTAACCTACCTGTTCAGACAGGATCATGGCATACCTCTGGAGCTGGTAGGATATGAATGAAGGTGTCCTGTTCCAGAGGTATGGACACTTCAACTGCACCACAAGAGTCATCAAATTCCTTAGGATAAATGTCCTAATCTCAAATATCTGAGCTGCTTTATCAGTGAAGTTTGTTACCATTATATAAGGAAGAAGTGGAGTTGATGGCTCCACAATGTTGTTTCTCTGCGAATGCTTTATGCAGTGAAAAAAAAAACTGAAAAAAAAACCCACAGATGCTGTATATCAGAAACAAAAATGGAGCCTGCTGGAAAAGCTCAGCAGGTCTGGCAGCATCTGTGAAGAGAAATCAGAGTTAACATTTCGGGTCTGGTTCTGAGGAAGGGTCACTGGACCTGAAACGTTAACTCTGATTTCTCTTTACAGATGCTGCCAAACCTGCTGATCTTATCTCATGAAGCAGTCCAGGCTGCCATGCAGCACGATTGGACATCATTCAGTACTGGGTTCATGTGTGCCATGAATATTACTTGCTATTTATGTACCAAGCAATAATCATCTTCAACATGGAGTCCAACCACCACTTGATGTTTAATGGATTACCAACAACAGCCTGAGTGTTACCATTGTCTAAAGACTTAAAACTAACCAGCCACCCAAATACTGCATGTGCAACAGTAGCTCAGAGCAGAAGTATTTTGTGGCAAACTACTCATCTCTGGATTCCTTAAAGCCTTTCCATTACTCACAAGGCACAAGTCAGGCATGTGATGAAATAATCTCTACTTGATTAGATAAGTGCACCTCCAACTAAACCCAGGAAGCTTGACACCATCCACAAAGCAGCTTGCTCATTGGTACCTTAATAACCACCATAAACACGCACACCCTCTGCCATTGGAGTGCCACGGCTACGGTGTACATCGTGTATAAGAACTACTTGAACAACTTGCCAGAGTTCCTTTAACAGAACCTCAAGTCCCAACAATCTGATCCATTAGGGATAAGGGCAGCAGGTGAATGTAAATGCCACCACTTAAGTCTCCCTCTAAATCACATACTCTCCTGACATGGAAGGGTAATTGCTGTTCCTTCATAATCGCTAAGTCAAAATCCACGAGCCCTCTGCCTAATAGCACGGTGGGAGTATTTTCATTCAAGAGACAGCAGCAATTCTACAAGGTGGATCACCACACCACCTTCTCCTGGACAACTGGCGACTAGCAATAAATGCTGACCTCACCAGCAATAGCTATGACCACAAATTCACAAAAAAAAAATTAAGAACTACTCCCAGATTAAACAGCAAAAAGAAACTCACAACAATAGGACCCTCTCTTCGATTTTGAGATATAAAAGATAGTTTCCATTAACAAAGTGCTGAATATTTTTAGGGAGCAGTGTATAAGTAAAATTTCCAAATTTTTATTTAGCAGGTTCAAGTGTTGACTTTGATGTTGCTATGGCTACTAGTGCACAAGTTTGTTACTATAGTAACCAGGACTTGAAAATGCAAGTAAAACATGAGAGGACTACACAATTTGAAACTGCAGCTGATACAACACTGCAGTTCGTTCATTTTCAGCTGTGCCTGGAAATAAAATTCCGGCCCATAAACAATGATCATGATATACCCTGCTTCCCAAAAAAAAAAGAGTTGACAGGAGTTGAACTGGGTCACAATGCCAAACTTGGAGGTCAGGCAGCACATTGGAAGTTAGATTAGCTCTGTTCTGCAATTGATTACGGAGAGTTAAAACTGAGAACAAACCTATTCAATATGCAAAGTATATAGAAAAGTAAATTTCATACAAACTAGCAATTCTAAAACATATGAGTAGAGGAAAAGCAATTGATACAGCATGTTACAGTCTCCACAGAGGCAGATAATTTAAGGAAAGATGTGCTCATTTACAATTGAAAAGGATGATGCATCAATATTTAACATTTTAACCTTTCATGATATCGTGATCATAAAAAGATCTGAAGTAGTGCTTTTCTTCTGTAGGCAATATACTTTAAAATAAAGAAAAGAATGATTCGTTTTGACTCATCACGTCAGTCTCCACAGAATTACAATTAATTTAACAAACAATTCATATTTGCTCCTTGTTTTCAATTGTTTGATTCTTTATATTTTCCTAAC